GCACCCCTTTCACACTCTTTAGTTCCATGGCTACGTTATTTTAAAAAAAATCAAACTTGACAATTGAATAATATATTATGTGAGACATGATAATTTTATATAAATTACATTTTTAATATTGAGCGTCATTTTTTATTAATGCATCTAATACTATTAAGATAGATACACCTTATCCTAATATGATACAACATTCGGGAACAGTGAACGTAGTGCCATTTTTTGCTAAATTTTTTTATACAAATGCCACGCGAACAGTAATTTTTACCAAACTGTCATGTGTCATAATTCGCTATCACTGGTAGCGAATTTTGTGACCAATAATTTCGTGACACATGGCTAGAGGTGGCAAAGCGGGCTGCCCGCCCTGCCCCGCCCCTGCCCGCCAAAAAGCGGGCTGGCCCCCCCCGCCTCGCCATTGAAGGTGGGCTAGATATCTCTGCCTGCCCCGCCCCGTTTGGGCGGGCGGGGCGGGCTTCCCGCCAAGCCCGTCACATTTTACACTAAAAAATAAAAAAAAAAATCAAATCAGCCCAGGCGGGCTGGCGGGTTTAGAAAACTCAGCCCGCCCCGCCCCGTTTGGCGGGCGGGCCGGGCCGGCCCGGCGGCGGGACGGGACGGGCCGGCCTGGCGGGCTCGGCTCATTTTGTCAGCTCTACACGTGGCCATATTACAGACCAAATTCGCTACCATTGGTAGCGAATTATGACACATCAGCTTTTTTCCTGCGAATGTGTGCCACATGTCATAAAATCATTGACGAACATAATTTGCTACCAGTCGTAGCGAATTACGCCCACGTGACAATCTGATAAAAGTATTGTTCACGTAGCATTTGAATAAATTTTTTGCCAAAAAATGACATTTTAGTGAGCGTCAATTTTTACCCCCGTACAATTGCCTTTAATAAATTATTTAAGCCTATATTAAAACAATAGAACAATAAAAAAAAGTCAAGATTGAATCCTTTCATGACTTGATGTAAAATAATCATGTTATACAAAAAATTTCAATTATTCATTCACAAATCAATTATTATTTTAACAAAAAATAAATAAACAAATCAAGTAAAAAAATTTATTTTTATTTTTGGTAAAAATTGTTATTTTAATTGCTCATTATTAATTTACGAATGAATAAGTAATATCTTCCGCATGATCTAATAATATTAAAATAATACATGATTTATTTAAAAAAAGCGTAGTTAAAATTAAAATCCATAGGACTACAAAAAAAAATAATTAAAATCCATAGTCATTAGAAATAAAAAAATACAATTTAAACATTTTAAAATAAATTGTTAAATTTTTTAAATTAATTTAGGAAAAAATTAATAAAAATTGTGTGCACTAGAACTTTTGTCTTAAAAATCAAAGTTTAAATAAAATATAGTCATGAAGAAGGTTTCTTAATGGGACAATATTTGTAAAAGAATATGTTTAACAGCAATTTTCTGCGTCAAAAATGTTTTCATGATTGATTAATATAGATTTGGCGTGGGGTCCAAGGGAGAGCCGTGACGAGACGAGCCGCTGCCGTCTTGGCCCAAAAAAAATAAAAAATAAAAAATAAGGTCAAGTTGACTAAAGAGGCAGGTTGCATCCGCTAGTGTTGCTGTGTCCACGGTCTCGTATCGCCACGCCGCGCCACCCTTAGCCTTAGGCCTTTTTACCCTTCCACACTCTTTAGTTCCATTACAAATCACCACTCCATAAGTCGAACGAAATATATAATTTGCATTAGATATTATATAGTCTACGTACTTTTTATTATTATTATTTTCATTTCTCTGTGTCTAACTTTTTGTATTTATTATAAAATTGAATTGAAGCTTCCTCGGGCGCGAGTGTTTTTTTTTTTTTTTTGTAATTCTTTAAGAAAAATATCTTAATAAATTGATTAGAAATATAAAGTATTTAGTTTTTATGACATGTGTGTGTGAGATAAATTTTAGATTAGCCAGCAACTTTTCGGGACTCATCTAATTCACTCTTATATATCAAATTATAGTATATTGTTTTTAGAGTGATTAACTTTTTTGTTTTATTAATTTATAAAATAACACATGTCATTCATAACTATTTTTTTATTTTATTTTTTGAATTAATTTCATGATAAATTTGAATGCTCTATTGTAATTTATACTTTTTAAATGTAAAATCAATTATATTAATTTTTGTATAATCTTAAACATTTATCTTTTAAATTTAAAAACATTCATAGAATATTCGTGGTTAATTGTTAGTTGAGTTCAATAGTCCAAAAAACGGTACATAATTAAAACTATTAAATCTATATATTAAACTACACAAAATGATCAATTCTCTCCATATTAATAAATGTCTCTTCTATAGCTGCAGTTCGAGAGGCTCCTCCCTGCTTCTCTTTCCTACTTCAAAGTTCTAATGCAAAGACATATCTTCATAGAAAATGGGAGAGCTATTTGCCACTTCAAAAAAAATTGAAAATTGTAATTTTAATTTCATGTAATTTCATTTTCACTTTGGACATTATAAAAACATTACCTGACCCCCTCAAAAAGCATTTTATGATCCATCACTTTTTTCTTCCCATCACGCTCAAATGGATGTTCAAAATTGCGCCTTCAAGCCTGCAAAAAGCACACTTTCTTCCAATTTAGCAAACAACATGCTCGCGTTCAAACTTGTAACCTTGTTTCCAATCGAACAACTAGAATAAAACCCAAATTCAAAACCATGTATATGTCCGTATGTTGCAGCAGATAGGGAAAAGCAGGTTTCGAGATCAAGCAGTCAAACGGTTTTGTCTTCTCTTCTTCCGTAAAGACGTGCTTGTCTTTGCCATCTAGCTAGAGATGGACACGAGTCACATATATACAGTAATAGTTGGACGATTTGGCTGCACGCTCTTAATCATGCGCATTCTACAGCCGCCACAATGCATAAATTATCCATTATTAACGCGTTCCAATTGAATATTGGAATTAGAATTATTTACTTATAAGTTGATAATATTTTATTATTTCGATCATTACTATGTACAAGATAATCCGATATCCACTTTTTTAGCTATAATATTCATTCATTCATTATGAGAATTGTAAATAATTAGAATTAATTACTTAGGTATTTACACGTTTGCCGAAATCATAATTGTTTTCACAATAATCTTTGCAAAAGTGAGATTCTCGAAACTTAATCAAGAAAAAAATATTTTTGCAATTAATGCAGATAAGTTATCTGCATTTATTCTCAAAACGACGTCGTTTTGATATTGAAATCTTAAAAAATTATAAATATAAAGACTATCATAACTTTGAAATAAATTAAAATTATAAAAATACCATGATTTCTGCTCCAAAACGACGTCGTATTGGGCTTACTGCAGATAACTTATCTTCAGTAACTGCAGAAAAAGTGAATCCAAAAATTACATCCATATATTTCTTTTTTGTTTATGAAAATAAATGAATAAATTTATAAAAAGTTTTATTGCAGTGTTTTATTTAAGACAAACATTATTAACTAAGTAGTAAATTTTTTGACTTACAGATATTGTAAAGCTTTTAATCGGTAAACTAAAATCTCCTGTGAGTCTTGCATATAATTTTTATTGTGGGGAGCAATACTAAAAACATTCATATATAATTTTTTAAATTGAAAGGATTTTGTTTAAACAAAGAGATGAATGAAACCACACCAAAAAAAAAAAAAAAAAAATGAATGAAACATAATTCGAATAATATGATGGCAAATAAAATAACCAATTTTTTAATATAACCTCCCCCATTCTTTAAAAAATAAAATGAAAGAAAGTGCCAATCTTGCATATGAGAACTTTTGCGTGTGTGTTAAGTTGCAAAACTGTTGTCAAATTATTAAAAAAGCAAAATAATAATTATATTATTTTTATAAATTACATGTATCATTAGGGGTGTTCGCGGTCTGGATTGGATCGGTTTTGGAAGCAAAACTCATCCGATCCAATCCCTTCGGTTTGATCATGTAATCATCCATTCGGTTTAGATTTTTTTTCAAATCCGATCCGATCCAATCCAATTTTTTTCGGTTTGGATTGGATCGGTTTTCGGTTTTTTGAATATCCTAAAATTAGTTTCATGATTATTGTACAAATAACATCTTTTGTACATATTGGCTTTGTAAAAAAAAAAAAGAAATTTGAAATACAAAAATATCACTAAACAATACTATAGTTGATGAGACGTGACTAAGTTTTTTTTTTGGTTTAGTTGATGAGTTAATGAGTCTTGAGTTTAGAAATTTTTGGGCTATGATCGGAGAAAGGACAAGTAGGTAGAGAATAATTAATATATTGGATCGGTTTGGATTGGATCGGTTTTCATCAACCCATCCAAAAACCGATCCAATCCAATTATAATTTGCGGTTTTCTTTCGGTTTCTGATTTTTCGGTTTTCGATTTATTTGGTTATCGGTTTTTCGGTTCGGTTTTCGCGATTTGAATCGGTTTGGATCGGTTGATGAACACCCCTATGTATCATTGACAAGAAACAATTTTGTTTCGGACGGATACAAGATTAATGCTTTAAATCCCTTTAGAGATGATACTCGATAGGATCAAACATATGTTATCACCCTATCCACAAAACTCTCATACGTCAACTGAGTTATTATCATTGAGATAGGATATTGTGACACACAAATAATGTTACGCACAATGTTACGACCACATCTTAACCGTTGATTTCTGCCAATCAACGGTTATCATTTATTGCGAATTAATAATTAATTAATGAGTTTGATTTGAAAAATGATAACCGTTGATTGGCGAAAATCAACAGTTAAGATGTGGTCGTAACATTGTGCGTAACATTATTTGTGTGTCACAATATCCTATCCCATTATCATTTGATAAAATAATAATTATATTAAAAACTTAGAAACTTAAAAAATGAAAAATGAAAAATGAAAAAAAAAAGCAGAAGAGGAAAGAATATAAACGTAACCCTAGAACCTAGTATTAAAATCGGTTGTAGCGTTACGCCCACTATCTGAACGGCTTCCACGCGCCTCTCCATCGTTCCTTATTGCTTTCTCTATCTCTTCACCGTTCTGTGTCGGCCTCTTTGCTTCTCTCTCTCTCTCTCTGTCTGACTCTCTCTATATATCGTCGGATTTCAAAACCCTAGAGTCGCTTCTTCAACTCCAAATCCAATCGAATCGAGAGACTAGGTAACACTCCCTTAGATCTCTGTTATTCAATCTTGATTCCTATTCTCTTATGTGCTCTAATTTAATTTCTCCCTGAACCTCTACGCCTGCAAGTAAATAAATCATCATTTGCGTGCCCTTTTGTTTTCCTTTTCAATTTTCTTTCGTTGGCATCTGGAATTGTATTCAAGGGACGGCCATATGAACTCTGGAACCAGTGAAATGAATGATATTTTTATTCTTCTTCTCAACTCTATAAAAACAGGATTTTGGTTTTGATTGAAGATTCGGAGTTTACAAAAGTTCAGCAACTTTATGATGGTGAAAATTGAATTCAAAAATTTGTTGTTCCCTCCGTGTCTACTGCAATTGATAGGAAGACGAATAAAAAACCTTAGGACCAACTCAGATAAATTTTTTCTACTTCAATTTTTTTTTTCATAATTAACTTCAATTTTACCCATATGATATCAAATTCAGCATATTTGGGTACATAGTTTTAGTACTTGTAAATTCAACTTCTGTGCTTCTATCTTTCTTTATGTTTTCCTTTTTTTTGTTGGGGTTTCTGACTCTTTAAGTACCTTGAACAAAGTCTTGGAATTCTCCTCTATCTTTTTGTTTTATGCTTGTTGTGCTCGTTTCGTCCTACGATATATTTGAAGGGCTTTTATTTTTCTTATTATTTATCTCTCACGTTTTTTCCTGGTCTGTATCCTGTATGTACTGTTAATCGTGTTAACTCGTCTTCTCCTTTTGGTTGGTTTTAATCAAATTTTGTTGGGATTCATTTTGGTGTATCAGAACAGAAACAGAAAAGAAAAAAGAAAAAATAAGTTTCGCACTACTCTTTTTCTCTCCAATGCTCGTAGTTAAGGATGTTAATGTGTAACTGAATACTAGACTTGTTCGTTGCCCAAGCTTTCTCTCTCTCATTTATTTATCCTTTATTGTTTATTTAATTATGTGCAATCGTCTTGTTGAAAAATCATCATATTCATTTTTTTTCCTGATAAGAAGGAAAACAGAAAAACAAAGCAAAGAAACCTATCTACACATTCTGGGTAATGCTACCCCCATCTGGTCCCTAAAATTACCATATTCGAAGCATTGTAATTATCCCGTGTACTTTACTTAAGAATCCAATGTTTGTTAGTTCATCTATGCATCTGCTTGCACTTAGTTTTTGCTTGTTATGCTGCAATCGCGTCCTAGTCGTTCTACTTATTATATCAGCACAACTGTTTCAACTGATTGCACTTATACTTCAGGTATTTGGCGTCTGGCTGCTGTCTTATCTTAAGCCGCTCCTGCTGTTCTTATGGAGAGATGTCTTACCTGGAGTAGCAGAAGAGGTTCGGTCAACTTGTCTCCCCTCCCTCTCTCTCTCTTACAGTCTTAAATTTGACGCCTTTTTTCAACAATAGGCAGGTTTTGAAGTCATCAGTTTTTTATTTTTATTTTTTAAAAATCTTATTTGGCATGAACAAAGTCTCAATTGTGTTTCAGAACCAGCTGGTTCAAAACACAGCTTAAAGTGCGTAGCCCCTTCTATACGGAAGTGGTCATAAATAAGTGGAGTGGACGACTGAACATCCTGTTCACGTGACCCTTTTTTTTTGTTCCTGAAATATACTAAACACGAATGAGAAGTGGTGGTCAGTGGGGTTCGAGACAAGCACACTAATGGTTCAGACAATGTGCTTGTTTGGTTAAGTGCTGCATTATACATAGTATCTTATATATACACTGTTATTGCCTGGTTAACTGCTGGTTTACTTGGAGTTGGCTGAACAGTGACTCAGTTATATCTCGGGTATGCTATCCAGTCCAGTTTTTTAAATAAAAATTTCGTCCTTTGGGATTTGGGTTGTGTTGTGACATGCTTATGCAACTATTCATACGTAAACTCCAAAGTTGTTATGGTCCTGTATTTTGGTTTCCTAAAAGTGGACTTCAGAAGTGCGGACATGCGATTTTATTCCTTTCCCGTTGATATATAACTTAAACCACAGTTCATTTGTTCTGGCTTATGATGCGCTTATGCAATGGAGACGCATGCCCTTCTGCTATTTTTGTATTAATAGATTAATCTTTGTTCTTTATGGGTTATCCTATTTTTCAACTTGTGTGAGAACAATTGTCGACATGTTTTTTCTGATTTAAATTTATACCGTTTTCTTTATTTTGGGCAATTGAATTTCTGGTGTTTAACAATCTTAAGTTTATAATTTTAATTTTAATTTTTTTTTTTTTTTTTTGCTTTCTTATAGCATCTATTCCCTATTTTTGTTTAAAGTGATGCTGAACAATGTCAAACTGCAACCACATTTATTCTGGCAGAAGTTCAAGTTTTGACAACGTGATCTGTCGTGAACAGAATAATTTCTTCTAGCTGGGTTTTGGAAGGAGTCGGATCTTGTTTGGTTAATCTGTACTTGCAACAGCTGATAAACTCAACATCAGTCTAATCTTCCATATATTAGATGGATCGCCGCGATACTTCAGGATTTGTCAGCGGGGGTGCATTCTCTTGTGGACACATCTAATTTTAACTTTGTAGATATACATCTCTTTTTTATTCGTAAGTAAGGCAGGCTGTTCTGTTGAAATTTGTAAATAGGATTAGATATTGTTTCTGCTGTTGTTTCATGGACGGGAGGTTCCAGCACTTGGGATTTGCTGCTAATCATTCTGCAAATGCATTCAAGATTTTGGACAATTCTATGCAAGTTGAAGGAAGTCGGGCTGATTGTTATGGTACAGACACCATCTTGCGACTTGATTCCCCTGGTTCTTCAAATCCCTCCTATATGCCCTCTTCTAAGGGAACAAAAAGGAAGTGGGATTTAATTAATGGGTGCATGAGTCAGAGAGTTGGCTCTTCTTTGTCTCTTGGGCTTGGGCATTCAACGAGTTCCTCAGACAGCAAGGGGAGTTCAGCTATTGCTTGCACTGCTATGTCTTCAGCCAAAGATAATGATGAGGAATCTTCTATGGATGTAGAACTGGACTTTACTCTCCATCTTGGCTGTGAGAAGGTGCAGAGCCTAAAGAAACCTGTTAGTTCAAATTTGAAGACATTGGACTTGCAGTTGAGCCTTTCCACTGGCCCCTGTGAGTCAGATATCACTAGTGTTCATCTAAGTCCATCACCTCTTCAATTGAATATGGAGATGCCATCAGTATTCCGTGGGACACAAAATACAGATGAGGGATCAACATCATCTAGTTGGAAGCAAGGGATTGTTTTGCCGTCTTCAAAGACTTCATTAAATACAGGCACTAGTTTCTTTCTAAATCAGGCTTCAAAGCAGTTTGATCATAGTCCCATTGTTCCGGACCTCTCGTCAGACATACCAAAAAGTTCAGTCACTTCTACTTCTGGCCTAACACAGCAGCAACAGCCACCACATCGCCTGAGTAATTCTAAGATATGTCAAGTTGAGGGATGTGGAAAGGGAGCCAGAGGTGCTTCTGGACGATGTATATCTCATGGTGGTGGTAGGAGGTGTCAGAAACCTGGCTGCCACAAAGGAGCTGAAGGTCGGACTGTATACTGCAAGGCCCATGGAGGTGGAAGACGATGTGAATACCTTGGTTGCACAAAGAGTGCAGAAGGACGGACAGATTTCTGTATTGCCCATGGTGGTGGCCGGAGATGCAGTCATGAATGTTGTACCCGAGCTGCCAGAGGGAAATCTGGATTATGTATCCGGCATGGTGGTGGCAAGAGGTGCCAGAGAGAAAACTGCACCAAGAGTGCAGAAGGCCTATCTGGTCTTTGCATCTCACATGGTGGAGGGCGTCGATGCCAAGCTCTTGGATGTACGAAAGGGGCACAGGGTAGCACAATGTTTTGTAAAGCACATGGTGGGGGAAAAAGGTGTACAGCACCAGGGTGCACCAAAGGTGCTGAGGGGAGCACCCCCTTTTGCAAGGGCCACGGTGGAGGAAAACGCTGTACATACCAGGGTGGTGGAATTTGCACCAAAAGTGTGCATGGAGGTACCAACTTCTGTGTGGCACATGGGGGTGGAAAGAGGTGTGCTGTACCAGGCTGTACAAAGAGTGCCAGAGGAAGGACTGATCATTGTGTCCGCCACGGGGGAGGAAAGAGATGTAAGTTTGAAGGGTGTGGAAAGAGTGCACAAGGCAGCACTGACTTTTGCAAGGCACATGGGGGAGGCAAGAGATGCTCTTGGGGCCATCCCGGGTCAGAGTATAGTATCCAACCAGATGGTCCCTGTAATTCATTCGCAAGGGGGAAAATAGGTCTGTGTGCACTTCATAGTGGACTAGTGCATGATAAGAGGGTTCATGGAGGTTTCTCATTGGGATCTGTTGTTCAGGATACTCATTCTAGTAAACCAGATGAACTAAAGCAGGTACCCGTTGACAAAGACATGGATATGGATATGATGAAAATGAGTAGTAGCCTGAGCACTGCTGCTCCGAGAGCTTGTTCTGACCTTAAACAATATGAAGTTGCCAGTGCTCATGTCTCAGCTGAGGAAGATGATCACTTTCCAATTTCAGTTGCTGTTCCTGAAGGCAGGGTGCATGGTGGAAGTCTGATGGCAATGCTAACGGGAAGTTCTAGCCGTGGCTCAAGTAGCGGGAGAGGTCTAGTTAGCGATCCATCAGAGCCAATCAAAGGTTACATAATGCCCCAGAGTTGGATTTAAGGCTAGTTATCGTTTTTGTTGTCATAGTCTCTGTAGTTCACAAATTTTATCATCGTGTTACATTGTTACTCCCTTCATTGTTAGATTTTTGACGATTAGAGTTATTCTGTCATCCTTTGAAATTGAGAGAATACCCAAGTCGTTTGACAATTTCATGGTTGGGATATCAAGGTAGGACATTGTGCTTGGATTAGGTTGTTGGTGATGTTTTTTTCCATTCCTCCTTTCTCTGTAAATATTACATCCGATGAACGTTTAGCATGTTGTTAATACAGGATGCTACCTGTAAGGTCTGTAGTGTGCCATGTATTCTATTTAATAATAAAACCTTACTCAGATCATAATTGTTATTATAGTGCTTATGTAGTTCATGGTTACCCTCGAGCTCGACCACCATTTGACATGACACCGGGCTAGTGTCGGGGATAATGACCAAATTATCACTATTTACCTCTTAAATTCTTTTACCAAAGTGCCACATGATGAGTCTTGCTACGCCATATGGCAAGTTAGGATTGGTCATGTGACAGCACCTGGTTGGCCACGTAACTAGCTGCGCAGTGCAGCTAGATTACGTGACAGACAACCCCTGCCACGTGGCCTAAAGCGCAAAATCGCTTGACTGTCTAATTGTTCACATAGTGGCGGTTGAAACATCCAACGCATGTGTGACACATGTCACACTCTAGCAAATCCGCTGGGCTGAACAACTAGTTACGTGCATGTGTGACACATGTCATTTAAAAGAAATTAAATAACATTAATTTAACACTCCTAAATTTAATTACTTTAACATTTAGAAATAATTTAGGAGTATAATATAAGTTATGAGTGTTAATATATTTAGGAGTTTTTATGTTTGTTAATTAATATAGTGTAAATTAGTATAAATTTAATTAAATTACTTTACAATTATCATTTGATAATTTTTAGGAGTGTTAACTATATTAATTTGATTTAATTTAAATTAATTTATGCTAATTGAAACTGTTTGTAACGGTTAAATTTTTTAATATAATTGAGTAGTGTTAAAGAATTAAACTAAATTAAATTAATGTTAATTATTTTAGTCTAATTCAATGGGCTTTTTGACCTTTTACTTTTCATTAATTAATTAATAATCATTTTGCCTCTTATTCAAAATTATCTACTAATCTGTCCTTATTTAATTGATTAACTTGAGGATTTAATCGATTAAATGGTCAAAACTGACAAAAATGGTTGACTTAAAGATTTAATCGATTAAATTTTCAAGTTAATCAATTAAATCTTCCAACAAAATCATTTTATAAGCGATTTAATCGATTACATATCATTTTTAATCGATTAACTATTGGTAACTTCCTAACAAAGTTGCAGAACTAAAGTGGCCTATAAAAGATGTACAATTAAGTGGTTTGTAGCTTAACTTCACCATCAATGGCCTGCAGCATCCAAGAAATTGCAGATAGGAAAACAATCAATTGCCTCACTGCCCCTCACTATGTTTTATGGGGGTTTTGACAAGAGTTGGCAGCGAAGTTGAGAGCTTTTTGCTCTTTCTCACATGCCTTTCTCTGAAACACTGTAGTTCTGCGACTTTGTTAGGAAGTTACCAATAGTTAATCGATTAAAAATGGCATGTAATCGATTAAATCGCTTATAAATGATTTTGTTAAAAGATTTAATCGATTAATTTGAAGATTTAATGATTAAAACTTCAAGATAATTATTTTTGTCAGTTTTGACCTTTTAATCGATTAAATCTTCAAGTTAATCGATTAAAGAGGGGCAGATTGGTAGATAGTTTTGAATAAGGGATAAAATAATTATTAATTAATTAATGAAGGGTAAAAAGATCAAAAAGCCTAATTCAGTGTATATTAATTTTAATTATTTTAGAATAATTAATTAGTTATTTTTAGGGGTGTTAACTAAAATAATTTAATGTAGTTTAAAATTTGTGAACTGTTATGTTACTTAATTTAATCAAGGGTTGTTAACTAATGTAATATATTTTATGTTTGTTAATTGAAATAGTTTAATTTAATCTATGTTAATTTAAATTGTTCATAACGATTAATTATTTATATTATAACTGTTAATTACTTATTTTTTGGATTGTTAATTATTTTATTTTAATTAACAATATATTACTAATTAATTATTTGTAAATGTTAAGTAACTAAATTTAGGAGTGTTAAATTAATGTTATCTAATTTTATTTAAATGACATGTGTCACACATGCACATAATTAGCTGCTCAGCCTAACGGGTTTATCACAGTGTGACATGTGTCACATATGGGTTGAGTGTTTCAACAGCTGCTACATAAACAGTTACGCAGTCCAGTGATTTTGGCCACGTAAGATGCCATGTAGCTCAGCGTTTTAGGCCACGTGACAGATGGGGGCCGAGGTTGTTTGCCACGTAATCTAGTTGCACTGCGCAGCTAGTTACGGAGCTAACAAGATGCTGTCACGTGACCAATCCTAACTCATCATGTGCCGTAATGAGACTGATGACGTGACACTTTGATAAAAAATTTCTAGAGCGTGACATTCTGATAATATTTTATGTAAATAATGATAATTTGATCGTTGTTCCGCTAGTGTTGTTCCATTTGCCAATTGACGAAGGGTAGCAACGAACGCTTTTCTAATGCGCACTTTTATTCCGAGGAACTGAATTTTACAAGATAAACTTCACTTAATAAAAAGTATATTAATAATATGGGGAATACATTTCTCATTATAAATTTTATTTCATGTACACAAAATAATAATAATAATAATAATTGAGATTCACTAAGGAAAAATGAAAAAGAAAAAAATGGGCTTTATCAATTTTTTTTTTCTGTTCACGAGATAATTTGTCTCAGAAATGTATTCCTCTAAACATATATGTCAAAAGACTTGACAATTTCTACTGTTATCATAGATAGTCATAATATTGTATTGTTTATTTTATATTCGCTATTTTCTCTTTTAGTTCTCTAAAAAATACATGTTTGTAGTTTTTTTTTTTTTTTTTTATAAAAAAGTAATTCATTATTTTGTGGATGCCGGTTGTGTGTGGACGTCGGCCTAGGAAGAAAGTGATGTGCTGTTTTTAATTTTGAAGAAGAATGTGATAAAAATTTCAAACATGTGGGAATTATATTTGATTCATGGAAGGATGTTTTGGTTTGGGTATAAGAATAAAAAGTTTTATTTTATATTTCGATTATTATTTTAGTATTTTTAGTATATTTGACGGACATATATATATATATATTTATTTATTGGGCTTTAATGTTTTTATAATATTTGTGGTGGCGGCGAAAAGTCTAATTCTATAAACTAGGTTAATAACAATTGCGCACGAGAGAAAATTTCTTATTTACCCCAAAAAAAAGAAGAAAATTTCTTCAATGTCTACCTATCTCTATGTGTTGGGGTTTAATGTTTTTTCAATGTCTACGTGTCTCTATATTTTGGGGTTGTAAATAATTTTGGGAGACACTACCTCAAAAGCTAACTCTAAGGGTGAGAGTGTCCAAGGCTTTATAAACTCCACATTAGTTACACATACAACCAATGTGAGACTACATATCTCAACACACCCCCTCACACGAGAGTCCATTGGGCTAGAAGCGTAAATATTGCACAGACCCAATTTTTGATTTTTTTTTTTTGTGTTTTTTATTTTAATTCCACTTTAAAGTGGGGACGGTGAGAATCGGATTTGTGACCTTACAGTCACTCAAGCTCTAAGGGTAGGAGTGTCCAAGGCCTTATAAACTACATTAGTTATATATACAACCAATGTGGAACTATATATCTCAACATGGGTTTAGTGTTTTTTCAATGTCTACCTATCTATCTATATGTATATTAATAGGTTTAATGTTTCTGTTAAACTATAATTTTAACATAAAGTCTTCTTAATTTGAGAAATTAATTAAATTAAGAGAAAAATATTTGTTTTTTTAAAGATAGTGATTTTAGTTAAAATTAATATTTTTTATTTAAAAGTTAAATTAAAAAAATCACCTACTTTCTTTTCATAATTTTTTCTGTGTATTTTTTTCTCATTTAAAATGACACAATTCTATATTGTTTATATATTTTAAAATGTCAAATAACAAACTATTAAATTAGTTACAAATATTAAAGACTTAGTAGTACATGGCCATTCAATTTTTTTTTTTTTTTTTTTAATTTGATGAGTCTACACTGTAACATGAGAAATTTATAATCCAATAAATAAATGTACAAAGGTCACAACTCAGAACAAAGACACGGGCACCCTCATCCGCAAGGCTTCTCAATTGACATGGGCTTGACTGCATTACAGACAAATTTGTTAGCTTTCTGATTCTTCTTCTCACCTTCTTTATATTTTTCTCTAACAATGCAACTTAAGGCCATTAACCATTTTTAATTTTTTATGAAAAATTTAAGTAAGAATTCAACTTGAAATCTAATTTTGACCAATAGAAATGTAATATTTTAATTTATTTTACTTTTTAATAAAATCTCACGTATCTTATTTATTATCCACATAATTTTAAATATATTTATTAATAATTGTACACAAAAATTATAGCGTTATATAGTTACTGTTTGTAATAACTTTCATGCCCGATGAAATTTAAAAAGAAAAAGTAACTTCTCTACAAAATTATCTTGGGAAAAGTATTTCTCGTTCCGGAGATAATGTTCAGTGAGCTCAAAACGACGTTATTTTGAGGTTATAAGATTAAAAAATTATAATGATAAATACTAAAATAAATATATTATAATTATAAAAATACCTTTATTTTTGTCTTAAAACGACATCATTTTAAATTCACGGAAGATAACTTATCTCCATTAACTTTGGAAAAATCCTTTATCCAATTATTTTCTCGTAACTTCTAAAAATTGTTTAAAGTTTATACCTTAATAAAAAGGGAGGTAAAAACGCCGCGTTTGCCTGGGTGGCTTTCACTTTTTATATTAAGAAAATAAAATAAAAAATCAATTTAAAAGGGTTTTGTAGTTATTTATTCATTACATAACAGATAACGCCTTAATCCAATTTGTTTTTGGTCTTTTAAATCTTGACGAAGATCAGACACTGTCCGTTAGGTAATAACAATTATGCAACAAAGTCCATTTTAGTCCTTGTGTTGTGCCGGCCACCTCGTTTTCAGACACGACCGACCCACTTCTTCTGATTCCTGTTCCTCCGACCACCATTGACTTTGGCCCATGGGCAACTGCAGCAGCAGCACCAGCGTCGGCGGCGCCGCCACATACTCCGGCGAGCCTTCCCACAGCAACGGTCTCACCGTCCTCCCTCCCAACTCCAATCCCTCACCCTCTCCCCCACTCCCCAGACAACCCCTCTCCGCCGCCGTTGGCCGCGTCCTCGGCCGTCCCATGGAGGACGTTCGTTCCATCTACATCTTCGGCCGCGAACTTGGCCGTGGCCAATTCGGCGTCACCTACTTGGTGACCCACAAAGTGACGAAGGAGCAATTCGCGTGCAAATCAATCGCCACGCGCAAACTGATAAACCGCGACGACATCGAGGACATTCGGCGCGAGGTACAGATCATGCACCACCTCACCGGCCACCGCAACATTGTGGAGCTGAAGGGTGCTTACGAGGACCGCCACTCCGTGAACCTGATCATGGAGCTCTGCGGTGGTGGCGAGCTTTTCGACAGGATCATTACGAAGGGCCACTACTCGGAGCGTGCCGCCGCTAACTTGTGCCGGCAGATCGTGACGGTGGTTCATAACTGTCACACCATGGGAGTGATGCATAGGGACTTGAAGCCTGAGAATTTCTTGTTTCTCAGTAAGGACGAGAGTTCGCCTCTCAAGGCCACAGATTTTGGTCTCTCAGTGTTTTTTAAGCCAGGTTAATAATTTCTTAACATTGATTAATGTAACATTGATTAATGTTTCTTGCACTCATTTACTCAAGTAATGGTGTTCTCAACTTGAGGGGTTCGATTTTGAGAGCAGGAGATGTATTTAAAGATCTTGTTGGGAGTGCCTATTATGTTGCTCCTGAGGTGCTGCGTAGAAGTTATGGTCCCGAAGCTGATATTTGGAGTGCTGGTGTTATCTTATACATTCTACTTTCTGGTGTCCCACCCTTCTGGGCAGGTAAAACTCCTTCCTTCGTATGCATTATATATCAACTATCTTAAAAGCTTAAGATAGTCGAGTAATGGTACATGATGCATAAGTGAACTTACTTTGTGCTGAAATCCAACTTTTTTTTATTGGAAGAATGGGGATATCAAATGGAGGTTCTAATACCATGTCATGAATCAATTATCTAAAAAACTTAACATGTTAAGTGAAGGTACAAAAATGTTTTTATACTTTTATAACATGTATAACAACTGGTTGAGCCTTCTAATTCGTTTTGAGCTTCAATATGATTATGGTGGTGCTTTACTATGGCAGTTTGCTTCTCTTGTACATTGATATACTTGCATTTGAAACTTTCCAATGTTTTTCACGCTTTGTTTTATCTTTTATATGAAGAAAATGAACAGGGTATCTTTGATGCTATTCTTCGTGGACATATTGATTTCACATCCGATCCTTGGCCTTCCATATCAAGTAGTGCCAAAGATCTAGTCAAGAAGATGCTACGAGCTGACCCTAAGGAACGCCTTTCAGCAGTTGAAGTACTTAGTAAGTTAAATTCTTCTTGTAAAACATAAATTAATATGTCATATTTTAAATTCTTCTTGTAAAACATAAAGTAATATGTCATGCCCAAGTGGTTTATATTTTATTTTAATCATGTTGAAACTGAGGAAAAGTCTGGCTTTGTTTACTCTCCTAGAGAGATTCTGATCCCGTAGGATGGATAAGATAACTCTATGATACAGTGAGGCTGAGATAACAGGCAAGAAATAGGGTATGAATATTCAAATTAGGTTCATTTGATGAATCCGTGATATTGTTAAGGACATGGGACTATGGTAGTACCTTGACTCATTCAATAAGAGAAAGAAGAGAATGTAAATTTATTTTCACATCTAGAAACACTTCAATCCCCCTCCCAAGAAAAAGAAAGGGAGAAAAGAAAGGTAGGTTTAGGACACAAGTATTGTTTCTGCTAATTGCCAAACTTTAGATTTTCTCCCTGCCTCATGTCTAATGTGATTTTGTTTTGTATCTCATCACAACCCTTTGATAAGATAACTTTGCACTTAATGCATTTGCTATTTTATCTATATAGAGTAGTGTGCGTGAGTTTACTCTCTGATTAATATTTTACTTTCTAAGTGACTGCCACCTTTTGTCTAGCATGTCATAATAGCATTTAAGCTATAACTTTCTTGGCAATTTACTTATTTGAATCAGCCAGTCATAACAATATGTTGTATGTACTCCAGATCATCCTTGGATGAGAGTAGATGGAGATGCATCTGATAAGCCGCTTGATATTGCTGTTTTGAGCAGAATGAAACAATTCCGGGCAATGAACAAGCTAAAGAAAGTAGCTCTAAAGGTAAATTATCTTTTATCATAGTTTTTTTTGTTGTTGTTCTTGCCATGAACATCATAATCAAGCTTTTGGTAAAATATCTACAATTGCCCATAAGAGTTGTATATATCAATTGAAAACCCAAAATATAAATAAATAAATAGGAAGAAGGCATTCATAAGTGAATTAGATCAAAGGATTGGATGCTATTGTTCTTGTTAAACAATTTCTACTTTGGCTGCTATACAATCTGTTTCCTCATTTGCTAGCCTAACCATTGAAGTGCATTGGAAGCAGCAGATTTTTTAGTTCTGAAATAAGATTATGCTGTCTTGAAGGGTTTGGTTTCATTCCCAGCATCTGGATCCACTATCCTGAGGATGACGTGAGAAGTATTTTGTTCTATTGCAGGTTATAGCTGAAAATCTTTCTGAAGAGGAAATTATTGGCTTGAAGGAAATGTTCAAATCCATGGATACTGATAATAGTGGAACAATCACTTTTGAAGAGTTGAAAGCTGGTCTCCCCAAACTGGGTAGCAAACTTTCTGAGTCTGAAGTAAGGCAGTTGATGGAGGCGGTAAGATTATCATTCTTTCCTTCTTTAGTTATATACCTTAGCTTAGTGGTTCTTCCAAAAAAAATCCCCCCGAAACCCCGATTGCGAAGGTAGGGGTGAGGGAAATCCTTGTACAGGAACGGACAACTTTACCACTGCTGCAAGCTGGTCCACTTTTACATTATGTTACATATTGTTTCTAAATTTTGAGCTGATACACTAAGTGGGGTTTAGACTCTGCATAGAATCTGACAACATTGAACAGATAGTATGTTGTATGAAATTGTTATCTGATCAATATGTTCATTTGCGGAGACTGGAGACAAATTCAACCAAAACTGTTGGCATCTGATCTGACCTATTTGTACCCACAAGTGCTCGGCTACAATATTCAGACTATTGTTTTTCTGGGTCCATAGCTTATGTTTGGTTATAGGTTTACAATGAATATTTGAGTAACTTAAAATTGGATTGCTTTTTGAACTTGCCTTTCTATAGTATCTGTGAGTTAAATTTAGCTGATCTTATTGGAAGTTTTATTTTCTTTCATGGCTAAACTACAGGAGCTTTGCTTCCCATAGCTAAGTCTCTCTCTCTCTCTCTCTCTCTCTATATATATATATATATATATATGCTAGATTTTTGAATGAAATTGTGTGTGTAAAAATAATGAGAAAGGAGGTGGATAGTATCTTTAGAGCTGCTTGATATTGTGGTTACTAGTTTACCACTTCTCTTGATTTTATGATTGCTTTTCATTCACTAATAGATCATAATTATTTGGTTCTCAGGCCGATGTAGATGGAAATGGAACCATTGATTATATTGAATTTATAACTGCTACCATGCATATGAATAGAATGGAAAGAGAGGATCACCTATATACAGCCTTTGAATATTTTGACAAGGATAAGAGCGGGTAATCTCATTTATTTTTCATTCATAATTTATAGTTTAGCAAACATTAACACCTTAGATATTGATTTATGTGTTGCTTTTCTTCTTGTTGCTTCTGCTTTCATAGGTACATCACAACGGAAGAGTTGGAATTTGCCCTTAAGAAGTATAATATGGGTGATGAGAAAACAATAAAGGAGATCATTGCCGAAGTTGATACAGACAATGTATGTTGCTTTCTTTTCACCCCTTTGTTTTTAGCGTATGTCTGTCTCCTATATTGTTTGAACATAATTACACGTAACAGTAATGACGTTCATGAAAATGCTGTAATTATATTGTTGGGTAGTAATGTATATGGATATATGCTGGATTCTGAATATGGTTATTTTTCTCAGGGGAATTTACTATATCTGAGACTAACCAAAATGTATTCTTAACAAACCTTGTATTAATGGTGAAAATAGAGCAGGTCTAGTAGAATTTTCCCCAAGTTTTTTATTTTTTTTATTTTTTATTATTATAAAAATGTATCATCTCACGTGGACACATCCTTGTTCTCATTGTTGGTTATGCTGATGCCATATTGGAGATTTTTGTACATTGTTGTTTAATTATCCTTTGTATAGATTTTAATTCCCAAATTTATTGCAGGATGCAAAAATTAACTATGATGAGTTTGTAGCCATGATGAGGAAAGGCAACCCAGAAATAACCCACAGACGTCGCAAATAAGCTCCACATAAATTGCTTGTTTTTTTTTTGGTTCAGAGGCTCTACACGTTTTATTGATTCGGACTATATTTCATTCATCACAGTTTACTCGCCTGTTGTTTCAGGAGAGCTCTTTCTGTAACGAAAGTTTTTCTGCGTTGTCTTTTGCATGCTGAGATTGGGCATTTTCATGATATTTATGGGTCTAGTTGGACAAGTTTATGTCTACTGCTTGAGTAGACATTATTAATATGTACAAATCTTAGAAAAACAGATCAACCCCTTTTTCCCCAGTGAGGTAAAAAGAAAGTGAGATCTTATTCTTGCTGGCTATTGGTTTAATGCGGTTTTGTAATTATATTGATTGTTCCTTAATTCACTAGTGTGTCAATCGTGACATTTAGTGTGTGGGAATATGGATATGCAAAGATGGTATTCTGGCTACTGTGGTATGGTACATAGGGACGTAATCAAATGAGACAATGCTAAACGGTTACTGTTCTTTATTATGCCTGTTATCTGCTTTAAAATCTCCGAGTACGGCTGTCTCTTTCTGCATTATTTGCGCACATGTGCGGATTATTCAGCAAGAATATTTGAAAAGTAAAATGAAGTCAAAGACTCTAGATTTTCCAAAAAAAAAAGTCTAGAGATTACATCAAAATGATTAATGATAAGTGGTTAATTAAGTTGATTGGACATTCATAAAATATATAACTTAATTTACTAATTGTCATCCAATCATTTATTGAGTTGGTCCAGCTTGTTTGATTTTTTTTCTTTTTTCTTGTCTTACTATTGATTGTTGAATGTGGCTCGGAGGCTTGATTAGAGCAAGAGGGGCCAATGAACGGGGTCGAGTTATGATAAAAGTTGCAAATTGGCTTCACGTTCACCTTTCTCTTATCTTAATTTGGTTTTAATTATTTTTATATTATCACGGAATCATATGTTTTTATATTATTAAAATAGTTTTTAACTCTTTCTTTTTCGCTAAAGTCAAAATAGAAAGAGTTTATACATTATTTATAGGGTTTGTTTTTTATCTAAAGTTACTTTAGATAACTTTATCTAATGTTTATTAAAACGACGTCGTTTTGGGGCGAAAATCATGATATTTTTGTAATTTTAATTTATTTTAGAGTTATAATAGTCTTTATCATTCTAATTTTTTTAATTTTTCAACCCCAAAACGACGTCGTTTCGATGAACATTAGACAAAGTTGTCTGAAGTAACATTAGATACTTTTTTTTTTTTCCTTATTTATATGTTGGGGTTGAAGAAGTTATGACCTTTTCATTTCCTTTTTTTTTTTCCTTTTTTAATCTTGGCTTCAAACAACGATTTTCTTTTCTTTTCCCCCCTCTCCACAGGCAATAATTATTATAATGGTTAAGTTTATTCTCTTAAAAGAAGTTCTATTGATTTGCAGAAAAAAAAGTACATCATAAAATTTAAATTATTAAATAACACAAATAGTAAAAAAAATCTACCTACTAAAAGTTATATAATCTTGTCCGAAGACCAATAAGTTATATTCTTTTATTATATCAATTTTTTTCAAGTAAAATATTATGTAACACAAATATATAATAATAAGTTCTATTTTATTTGTAGATACCATAAAAAATTTAGTCTTTATGCATGAATATTTTTTAACTCATCTAATTTCATTTTTACTCTTATTTTTTTTCAATTTTTTATGTCACAAGTCTATGTATGATGATTTAAGTGAATATAATATTTGAGGACTAAAATTTTACCGCTGACAAGATAAAAATTGTTCTACAACTCAACCAATTATGGTGTATACTGTATAGTACACTGTATTTCTTATATCAAAAGGCAATACAGTTTCATTTTACTAGGTTAACTTCGCAACACGTATGAACGTTTTCAATAAGAGGCACTCCTCTGTCGTTTTTGCAACCGTGGAAAGTGCGCCAAGCTGTCAGCCACTGCGACAAAGGTACTGTTATATTCGCAATCGCAAGTCAATAGTAAACAAATACAAAACAAGAAGGCACTATGCATTTGCAGCGAATGCATCATAACAAAATTCCACATATGGTGCGGATGTGTCAGCATCACGATGCAGCTAGCATTAATGTTAACAAAATTCCACATATGGTACGGATGTTTCGGCATCACGATGCAGCTAGCATTAATGTTATATATAAAATAAAAATCAATATGAACCCGCAAGATTCGGATCAACCCTTATTATGTATTAGATTCTGATGACAATAATATTATTTATTAAGAAAATTATCCAATCTTTCACGCAACAAACTATTTAAAAATAAACATTTTAGATGTTAAAGTGCAATTATGAAATAATTGCCGAATTTCATATGTTACAAGTTTTTAACAGAACTGTGCGAAAACTGAGTATAGCTAGAGAAGTAACTAAATAGTTCCACGTCAACCCCAACTCAGAGTTAGAGGCAATTTCGCGGTCTAACACTGTTGGAGTCGGATTTTTTTTTTTCCCTTTCCAAACGAAACGAGCACAACGACGTTAAACTAATTCAACGCTCTCTCTGAAAACCAAAAACTCGTGCTCTGTTCTGTTCTGTTCTGGCTTCGCAATGAGCTCACACGATGCGGATAGAGAACGAGGTGCATCCACCTTGGTACGTTTCCTCTTCTTCTCCATCACCACCTCTTTTTCGCCACAATTCAAACCCTAACTTAACGGCAAAGTTGGTTATAAATGTATTGTAATGCTTTCGGAACTAGCTATGGCTTTTCTGCGCTTGTTTATCGTCTTTTCAGATTCGATTTACGTAACTTCGATCCAAACCTAATTAGTGTATGTGTAATGTAGTAATTATTGAATAAGTGAATTTTACCACAAAAATAGAATGAGCGAAAAGAAAATGAGATCCGTTGCTTCAAAATCGATCCTCAACATAAACTTGGATCACTGACCCGGAAACAGGACAGGGTTGTTCTGTGTAATTTTGAAATTTAGAAGGCATGGAGGCGATCACAGGCAGTATATATTATATTTTGCACATTGGTTTCTGAAATAATAGGTTATGGAATTAAAGTGCGAGTTGTTGTGTGATGAACATATGCTATGTTTGTAGAAACTTAGAAAATTAAGCTGAAACTGTTCCTGAAATTAATTCCCGGCTTCTTCTACCACTGTAAATGTGCTCTTCTGCACGTGTACTGTATTTTATCAAATGACAAATGAGCAACTTATCGCAGTTGTATGCCTGTGCAGGAAAAAAAGTAAATAGGAAAAAAAAAAGCAATGAATTCCTATATAGTCCATATTATTGTTTTTGGCTTTCCTTTTTGACCTGATGTTTGTTTAATTGAACTTAAAGACATTATATATGTGAATACTGTCTGATTTCTCTCTGTTAACAGGTAGGATGCAAATCTCAATGTAAAGCACTTTTGTTTTTGGCATACCAGAGTTTAGGCTTTCTGTTTGGTGACCTGAGCCTCTCCCCTCTTTATGTCTATCAAAGTATATTTTCTGGAAGACTGAAACATGTTCAGAATGAGGATGCAATATTTGGCGCATTTTCTTTGATTTTTTGGACTTTGTCTCTTATTTCTTTGTTGAAGTATGCCATTATCATGTTGAATGCAGATGATAATGGTGAAGGTAAGGGCTATTTTTCTTTAATATTCTGTGAGTTTAGATCCTTCTGTTTTATTTTTGCCCCTTGTTATTACTATTGAGTGTGGTAGTGCTAATACATTCAACATGTGCAGGGGGAACTGTTGCTTTGTATTCACACCTTTGCAGAAATGCAAAATTTTGTTTGCTTCCTAATCACCAAGTATCTGATGAGGAGCTTTCTACATATCACAAACCTGGTTGCTCAAATAGAAATATACCACCCTCACCTTTGAAAAGATTCATTGAGAAACATAAGAGTACAAAAACTGCTTTGCTTATTGTAGTATTATTGGGTGCTTGCATGGTAATTTGTGTTGGTGCCCTCATGCCTGCAATTTCAGGTAAACATTTTTCCTCCTCGCAAATATGTTAGTGTATCTGGTAGAACTTATGCGACTGTTGTTTTACCATGTGCTTTTGTTTGACAAGTATTTGCTGTATTGGAATTTTGTTGATTGGAATTCTATCTTGCAGTTCTTTCATCTATTGAAGGGCTGAAAATTGAAGCGAAGATTACAAACAATAGTAAGTGGAAAAAATGCTAATCTTCCACCGAACCATATCTGATACTCTTTATGTGGAATGTAAACTAATGGATTATTAAAGTAATATAGACTATAGGGAAAGAAGGTAACTTAGATTGTAAGATAAAATCATGGAATGTAACTCCAGAAAATATGATCGTCACTAAGGATGACTTTTGTTAATGTCCTTAACCCAGATGACTTTCCCCTCTTATACCCGAAGATCATTATGTGGTTCATGAGTTTATTCAAAGAAAAATTCATGGTCTCTTGGATTTGGTTCTGCATTGTGACTTGTTGAACACTATTCAGGGACTTTTTGAGCAGCTGTTATGGCTCTGAATTCTTGAAAGATGAATGAACAATAATGGGGTAGGGGTGATGGGAAAATATTGAGGAAAGGGAATGAAAGAATGATGTTTATTTAGAAAGAACATAAGAGATTTCTCTCTTACATGGGAATTCTCCCTTACACTGAGCAATGCGTCGGTCAAACTATGAATTCACCAAAAGTTCCCTTCTACCATCCCAATATCCCTTTTTATACAACAAACTAAACCTCTCCCCTAAAGGCCTAACTGTATAACCACCTAGTTACTAGCCTAACTGCCTATACAATAGTTACAACTAACACGGGCCACTAATTAATGCCCTAACTGCTTCCTAATATAGGTCGTAACAATGCCGCCCCCTTCAAAACAACCTTGTCCCCAAGGTTGGAATCTGGAAAACTGGCCTTGCATGGTTATGTATCATTAGTGGTATCCTCACAGGAGCCCTCTTCCCATTGATGCTGCCACGGTTAGCATGCCTAGCCCCAAAATATGTTGGAATTGCACAACATCCCCCCTGCAACATGTGTATGGGAATCAGTCGCCTCAGGCTCTGTTGAAGTTTCTCATGGCCACTAATCATCGTGAAAAACTTGTTAGCTGACATAGCCCACTAATTAGTTCATGACCAATACTGTCTCCACAGCCATTGAACAATTTAACCTTTAAACCATACTCATTGAAAGCAGGTACAACATCCGCTTGAGCTTCGTAAAGTGCCCAAACAACAGTAAAACAACCAACATATTTTCCAAAATTAGAATACTTACCCATAACCTCTTGCTTCTCATTAAAGATCTTAATGATATGCTTACGGTACCAATCTATTGAAAAAAGCCTTCGGATAACTGAACCACCTCCTCTCAAGTTCGTCACAGCCTTAAGTAGAGCCATCCACAAAGTTCGTTTAGGACAACCTCTTCCCAGTTCCCACATAGCAGCAAGCAGTGCATCCCTATGGAATGTCTCTACTACCAGGACTTTACTCGCCTTCTTGATATTATCCAAATGTTGATTGTTTGTTGTTTCAGCAGGTTGAGTATTCACATTCCTTTCTACTATCATGAACACTAGTTTTGCAAGTTGAGATTGTGGTTGAAGTTTAAGAACAATACCCTCTCAACACAAGAAATATCATTAACAATGACAAAAGTTCTCATCCATATATCACGTGTAAGAATTCAGCCTAATATAACAATCTCCCTACAAACCTGGCATTGTTATAAAATTTTCTTGTTTCCTCAGCTTCATGTCACGTATCAGCAAATTATCAAGTTCACTGTGGCTACTCCACAAATGAAAAATTGTCAAGACATATTGAAATAAGTATTCTGTAAAAAGACTAACCCAGTCGTGAACCTCAAAGGAATTTGGATTATGGAAATTAGTACTGCCAGGTTTGCCACCACCATTTTCCCTGTCCTTATTCAATTGATAATAGAATGTCAAAGGTGGGAGATCAATACACAAACTCACAATCCCAGGCAATGGGCAAGATCATTTAATAGGAAGCTCGTCTGACAAGATAAGAGTTCAGTCTATTATGGACAAATCGGAGGTTAAGGGTTTGCTTTGTGATAAGAAAGGGAGTGAAGCCGCTTGGCCCCAACCATATGGTTCAGGGGTTTCTTTTTTGTGTGCTTGAGCCAGATAGATTCTGCAAAAGAGTAGAACCAAGCTTTTTTCTCAGTGTAAACAAAATTACTATGGGAATAGATTCTGAAACTTTATAGTCTACATTTTCCCCCAAAGTTTGAAGTTTGTTAGTTTCTCTCTCTGTATATGTATATATGTATAGATATATAGAGAGAGGAGGTTTGTTTAAGGTAAGAGCACGAGAGGAGCTAATGTTGACCATAAAACCATTCATGGATGGTCAAGATTGGTTTTACTTAACATCTATGTAAGATTGAATGGTCAAGATTAGTTCCTTTCATGCCCTCACGCTTTCACCTGATATGCTCCGTATACACACACACACACACATATATATATATGGTACAAGTCCTATTTTTCTTCATTGAGAAATATTATGCAATCTAGGTAGTTTTGCCATAAAAACTTACATATATTTCATTACACAGGTATGGTACCTCTTATTTCTTGTGTTCTACTGGTTGGGCTTTTTGTTATGCAACACCGTGGCTCCCAGAAGGTTGCCTTCATGTTTCCTCCCATAATCATCCTATGGTTACTGTCTATTTTCATGGTTGGCATTTACAATGTCATCAAGTGGAATCCAAGAGTATACCGGGCTCTTTCTCCATATTATATATACAAGTTCTTTTCAGTTACGGGAAAAGATGGTTGGACTAATCTTGGAGGAGTATTTCTATGTGTTACAGGTCTCTGTTTCTTTCAAAATTCAAGTTCTGCTAAATCTTATTGATGCCAAATTTATTTGGTTTTCTTGTATAATTTCAGGGACTGAAGCTATGTTTGTAGACCTTGGGTACTATGGACAAGCACCTGTAAGGGTATGTGCAGCCAATAAGTATTAAGTAGGCTTTAGCTTCATGGTTAATTAGCAATGTTCTGTTCATAATTGAGTACTGTACAAGTTTCTGAAGGGTGAACCTGTAGGGTGATGATAATTTACTTTTGTCAGTTTATGTGCCTAGTTGTGATATACTTTTCAGACATTGACATATTAGATGTGCCTGTTATATGTGACAGTAGATGATATTATGCCGTGAAAGAACGGGACTTCAGATGGCAAGTTACCACAAAGAAGTCAATTAATTTATGGGAGCAGTTGATTCAATGATGCATACTAATTTGTATTACTCACTGATATATTAGTACCATAAAAGTCAAACCTTTGTTTTAGAGTATACTATGCACATGCATTACAAGCAAAGGAGGAAATGCAGTTAGAGTTAAGTGAAAATTAGAAAGCCATTCTTGATTTGTTACCATGAAATCTCAGGCTTAAGGGGAACGAATATGTGAAATCAAACTTTGAGTTGATTTACCAGTTTGGGAATGTATGGCACATAAATTCACCTTCATCCATGATGATCCTTGGTTTAACAAATTGAGGCCATAATGGTGAATCCTCATTTAAACGAATGTTGCAACTTTTAGATTAATTTTGTTTTTAAAATTGATTGTTGTAACTGTTATTGCATCCTTGTTACCATGCAGGTTGCATTTTGTTGTGTCATTTACCCATGTCTAGTTCTTCAATACATGGGGCAGGCTGCTTTTCTTTCAAAGAATTTATCTGCAGTGCCTATAAGCTTTTATGCTTCTATTCCAGGTCAGCTAATGTAAATGCTAAGAATAAAAAATGTCTGATAGGCCATCTAGTAAAATTCTAAAAAACATGGAACAAAATTATCTGCATTGAAAAGATGAAAAAATATCCAGTTAATGCTATTGTGTTAAACTTCTAGTTTGTAACTTGGCCAATTTGATTGCTTCAGCTGTATTTGGACTTCTAAAGTAGCAGAGTATTGAACCTAGTGATAATTTGGGTTATTTGAATAATCATATGTTCTGTATCCTAGTAATACTATGAAATTTGTAGTATTATCTTTCTATTACATGTATCCCAATTTGATAATTAGGAACTGATGCTGGCATTGACAAGTATTTGATACAAGTTCTGGCATTGTGCAGCCAATTTACGTGGGAGGGGTTTGATAGATAATTTTAACCATAGAGGAATGTTTTAGTGCTGATTTATATTTGGGATGACTGCATATTTCTCTTCATAGCATGTTATTCAAAGAACCCAAATCTTTTCTATCCCTATGTCCTACAACTCAGAAGCACCGACACGCACATTTGAAAAAAAATAATGTGTCGAACACGGACATATTTCGACATACTCCGACACGTGGTCAACATTTTGAGACACGCGGTCAATTCTCCGACATGCATCCGATATGCGGTCAACATTTTCCGACACGCAGTCAACGTTTTTTGACACGTTCCGACACAGTCAATGTTTTCCGACACACTGTCAACATTCATACAAATCCAAATTTTATTTTATTTTATCTTTTTAACTAAACATAAAAAATTAATTTATAAATCAAATATTTTCTGTTATGATTGATTATATGACTTATTATGAGCTGCTATATGTATTAAATATAAACTATATTATATATATTAAAAATATTATTTAATATCAAATCGTATCCTAACGTGTCGAAATCTAACATTTTTTAGAATTAACGTCTCGGTATGTCGTGTCATATCCCGTGTCGCGTGTCGGTGTCGGTGCAACACAGTCCTACAACGTTAAGTTAGTTTCTCATACATGTTCTAATACTATTAATAATTATGATTACATTTTGATTTCCTGTTTGGAAGAAGTGATCTATCATTCTTGTTTAAGGTTTGTTCGGGTATCGAACAATGATGTCTAGCAATGGAGCTAGTAATTCAATTACGAAACAAGGGTAGAGATGGCTGGCACGGGGTAGCACAATATCTTCAGACAACAGCCCGTTGGTGCTAATCAGGGGTGTGTGTGTGACAATAGGTATTGGTAATGCTCAGAGTGATAGACGATCCAGAGCTTGAATCCCGTAGGTGGTGATGACTTAGAGATTGTGGGGTGCAGCCCCACGACCCGGGTTAAAGGGCTATGGCGGGTTCCATTTTTTATGAGACGGCTTAGCGGCTTGCGGTTTTTCTTGGTACCGTAGGTCAAGTAGGCCTTTCGGGGCCTATTGCGGAAGTCCTTAATTCGGGAACTCTCCCCGGAACAAGGTTCTGGATTGTTGTAACAATCTATCAGTCTAATCTATTAGACTGATAGATTTTGGAAATTTTAGTCAATATAATCACTATTCTTTTCTAACTGAAAAACCCTCTCACTTGAATGTTATTGATCTTGAGAGCTTGTTGCAACATTCTAAGTAATGTCACTTTTATTTTTTAGGATATAAGTTCCTGATGAAATGTATTTGCTGATAAAATAACTGCAGAAAATTTTCATATATTTTGAAAAAAATAAATTGAACTTCTTGTACATTAGTACTTTTAATTTATTGTAATTTTTGGCAATCAAATTGGTAGACCTGATTATTGCTCGAAATTTTTTATGTATCAATGACATACCCAATGGGTTTAGCTCAGACCACCCACTTGGTGGGGATAAGTTTTGAGCTAAAGTCTAGCCAATGGGTTTGTTGTTGTTAACTTATTATTGTACCTTAGCATCCCTCCATGTACTCTATCTAACAGATATATATATATATATATATATATATATATATATATATATATATATATATATATATATATATATAAATAAAATAAAAAGATCCACTCAAGCAATCCCTATATTTGATTTTTCTTAACTTTTCAATCTGGAGTGTGCTATACACCTTCAGTGGAATAACATCACCTGTTGGCATTTGGGTCACTAGTATGCAAGAAATCTTACTTCAGCAGTAACATAAGCAAAATAGTTGTGCTGGCAAGAATGTCCTGCAGTGTGTTTTTGACAAGAATTGCATTACTCTTTTTTTGAGTCTCATTAATTTATTTCAGAATGTTTTTGTCATTTTGTAGATATCCTATTTTGGCCAGTATTTTTGGTGGCTGCTTTGGCAGTAATAGTTGCAAGTCAGGCTGTCATCTCTTCAACGTTCTCAGTTGTCCAACAATGCCATGCATTTGAATGTTTCCCTCGTGTTAAGGCAGTACATTCCAGAAGGTGGATCCATGGCCAGTCATATATACCAGAGATAAACTGGATTCTTTTGATAGTCAGCCTGGCTGTGACAGTTGGTTTTGGAGACACAAACCATATTGGAAATGCATATGGTAAGTTGTGTTAAAACCACAGTATTTAAAATCTCTAATTAAGAGTTCATGGGTCTCCATGGTTTCGTTTTATATTGTAGGTCTATTTATTTCTATATTGCTTTTTTTAAGTCAAAATTACATTCTCTTATATATTATGTGATATTGAAATACGATTGAACTTTGATCCACTGACACTGTAAAAAATTTACACTATCAGTGAACCATATCATGCCATCTATTTAAAAAACAGTCAAAACTTTTACTAAAAGTGAAAATTAGCATAATTTTGATCCATTATTAGTGTAAGACTTTTTTAGATTATCATCCAATCATGTATTATCACAGTATTAAAAGAGTTGACTATGATAACAGCTACCTAAGAGCTCAAACTCTTTCAATGATGTGGCAACACATTATTGGGTGCTACTATGCTAGTATTTAAAAGTTACACTAACAGTGAATCGAGAATAAACTTTTTAAATGGTTGATTATGTGTTATAGATGGTTCAATGATTGTGGTAGAGAAAATGCCAATGTTCTGGGTCACTATCATTGACTACCGTTTTTCAGCTGATGATTGCAAATGTCATCATCTTAATTGCAGGGATTGCATGTCTGATTGTGGCGTTTGTGACCACCTGGTTGACATCACTAGTCATCAGCCTTGTATGGAATCGGAGTCTTATAGCTGCTTTATCATTTCTTTTATTCTTTGGTTCGATAGAGGTTCTCTTCCTTTCATCCTATTGCATGAAAATCCAAAAAGGTGGCTGGGTTCCGCTCATGCTTTCTGCAGTCTTCATGGTTGTGATGTATGTGTGGCATTATGGTTCTAAAAAAAAGTATTTATTTGACATGCATAACAAAGTTTCAATGAAGTCGATCCTTACACTGGGTCCTAGTCTTGGGATTGTTAGGGTTCCAGGAATGGGCCTTATCTACACTGAATTGGCTACTGGAATCCCTGCTAGTTTTACTCATTTCTTGTCAAATCTGCCAGCTTTCTACCAAGTGGTTGTTTTTGTTTGTGTTAAGACTGTACCTGTGCCTTGTGTGCCCCATAAGGAACGTTACCTAATTGGCCGAATTGGTCCCAAATCTTATCGATTGTATCGGTGTATTGTTCGAAATGGCTATAAAGATGTTTATAGCCATGAAGATGATTTTGAAAATGACCTTGTGATGAGCATAGCAGAATTCATTCAATTGGAAGCAGAAGGTTGTTCTGGAAATCTAGATGCTTCAGTGGATGGCAGGATGGCAGTGGTTAGGACCTCTGGGAAATTTGGGACAAGATTGCTAATGTCAGAATCTGCTGGTTTTGAAGAAGGCAGCACTACGAGTCTTCCTGGAGCTTTGACTGTTACCAACAGTAAATCTCCCACATTGAAGAAGCTAAAGTCCATGTATGAGCAGGAATCGCCTGAACTCAACCCTAGACGACGCATTCGATTTGAGTTGCTAAATACAATATATCAAGACCCACGTGTCAAGGAAGAGCTCATGGAACTTGTAGAAGCCAAGCGTACTGGAGCAGCATATGTAATAGGTCATTCTCACGTGAAGGCCAAATGGAACTCATCATTCGTAAAGAAGTTTGCTATCAACCTCTACTCTTTTCTCCGAAAAAATTGCCGATCCCCTGCTGTAGGCCTAAACATTCCTCAGATTTGTCTAATTAAGGTAGGAATGAATTACCATGTCTAGCATAAGTCGATGACAATATCATGACTGAGGATGTAATTTATGCAAGCCAGAATAGAATGCCCCCTTTGGCTTCCACGACAGGAAAGACTATGATGCTACTTTGGCAGATTCAAGTTTCCTCTTGGCATGTTTGAAGAAAGAGCTGCATCTAATTGCCAAGATGTTTTGATTTTGTGATGGTGCTGGCAAGGTATGTAAATTACTAATTTGTTTGATAAGGAGTTTGTTCCGTGACCCGTACCTGTTTGTAGAATTTGAGATTCCCAAATTACCCTTGGGAGTGACTTCTGTCTTAACGGCTTCGTACTTGTTTTGTTAATGTAAGCATCTACGGCTGTCTTTGTACTGGTACGGAATTTTTTGGGTCGTTTTTGTAATCTTTCATCCGCGAAAAAGGAAATGATATTTATTCAGAACGGAACCATACATGAACTATAGAACGCAGCAGCATACAGATTTGAATTTGGATTCTACTATTTATTTTTTAATTTTGGCTGCTGTGAAATTCGTCCATCTAGTTAGTTCGCTTCTCTGGGCTTACTTCATCTATTTTAATTATTTCCTATATATTCTGAATTCTGAAGCATCTATCCTATTGTGTAACAAGAACTTTGTCAGACCAATTCAGTCATCAATCAGGGAAAGGAATTTCTTTACTTGCTGATATGTAATTACTAAGATGTTAGTTAACAATAAATCCTTAGCTTGAAGATCAAAATATTAATAGAGTGAGAGAATTGACTAATATTATTCTCATGTTAGAGATTATTATTTCAGATCAAAATATTAATAGAGTGGAAAATATTATTCTCATGTGATAAGAAATTATTATTTCATGTTATAAACACAAAATATACGAGGTTCATTTATTTATTTATTAATATTTTAAAAAGAGTGGATTTAACATGCTTGAGTTAAAGTATTTTACCTTTCTCTTGTGTCTATGACATGAGTTAGTATTTTCCATACTGAAAAGCATATAAAGAAACTAATCTAAAGCAAATTGAATCATTTGGTCATTGGTAAAATACGAAGGATAAAATATTTTTTTATTAAAAAAAAAAATACTTGATGTAAAGAGGATGGAAGAGAATAGAGATAATTGGCTAATCTCGTGTGTGACGTAATTGTTAGAGATGTGAAAAACATACCTGTCCTGTTTGTCAACCATACTAAATAGTAAATGCCTTTCTCCCTGAACATATTTGTGCCCCTCCCCTATTATAAAAGTTCGAATATTATGTCATACAATTAATTTTTCCAACTGCTTATATTATTAGATAAAGGCAAGTAAATATTTTTTATACATATATTTTTAGCAGCGTGCCTTATTATTAATATTTTTTTTAAAAAAATATTACTATTTCTATTGCTGTCAACCTTTGTATTTAGTGTGTTAATATTACTATTCCTATAGTTAGATAAGCGGGCAAGGGGTCCAAGTTTATTCCAAACCCCATAAATATGCTGGGTTAAAACTTAAAATTGAATGCCACAACGACAACACTTCAAAACGTTGCAGGAGAAATGAACTGTCTCAATTAGTGACGAGACTTATTAAAAAAAAAATTATGCGCAAATTAAAGGTCATAACATGAAAATGTGAGAAGTGTTTTTCCAATATTTTATATTTGTAACCGCGAAACAAAAACAACCTTAGTCGTCCTCTTTCCTTACTGGAAAAGACAAGTTCAAATCATATTGGCATAGCTACCCTAACCTAGGTAGCTGGCTAGGTAGGTACCATAACCAAACCAGTTTTGGCCTCTGGTCGATGTAAGGAACTAATTTGCAGCGTCCCTGATTAGATTTATAAATGTTGAGTACCTCTTCCTCTTCTTACTCTATCTTTGCTCGCTCCTTTCCTCCAATTAAGGGCTTTCCCCGACCCACCGCACTACGCCCTTTTCCTCGGATCTTCGAATCCCATGTCAAGTCTCCAAAAAACGTAAGCATCATTTCCGAGACTAATTGAAACACTTGTTCACTGTTTCTCCCCTCCTTTTTGTTGCCTTTTTATTATTATTTATATCTGTGTTATTGTGACTTTGGAAATCTTTGTTATGGATTGCTTTTTTTTTTTTTTTTTTTTTCAATTGCCGAGATAAAAAGAAGAGGTTTGAAAAAGTTCTTACCTTTATCCCTAATGAACCTGAGAATCAGAGACCTCTATAATTAATTGTTTTTCTGGGGGTTTATGTTATTTAAGTAAAGTAAATGGCTTTGAATGACTCAAGTGCGGCATTTCAGATTTAAGTTCTTATTACTTTATGTATGTGATTATCAGTGAAGGTGGTGGAAAACAAGTATTTTTATGGTACATACATATATGCCTGAAGGAGAGGAATACTACCAGCACACTCTCCAATATTATTGGTTCATTCTCTAAATGTTAATTTAGTTGCCTGGTAAACTAGTAACTTTATTAAGCAAGCGTGAGAATGGACCCATAATAAAGTATGTAATAAAGAGTGTGTTAAGATTTAAAAAGAGTGTATCAGTAGCATTTTTCACCTGAAGTAATTGGTTGCCCCTTTTTTGCTTTGCTGTTTTCATTTTATTTTTTATTTTTTTTGGCTTTCCTTGCAGAAATTGAGTATTCTATGCTTTAGGCATGAGCATCATTCTCCAGAAACACCTAAACCCGAAGCAATAGACCACTACTTTCACGAGGAATTGGTGCAATCGGAATTCAATGACTCTAGCGTCACCAAAAGAGACTGGAACTCAATCCTCCAGAAGGTCATATGTCTATGTTTACTATAACAAATGGTTTTCCATTTTCTATGCTGATGTATCCTGTATTACTTTAAGACCACTATTCATATTGTTAGAGAAATATATAAACTATTCATGTAGCCTCACGCAACAACTTAAGTTTTTGGGTTGAATTGGTTCTTTACATGGTATCAGAGCTTCGGTGTCCTGGGTTCAATCTTCACCGCCTCCCATTTAATTAATAATTAATTAAGTCTTGTGGAGTTTCTTAGCACAAGTAAGATGGGCTTGATGCATCATCCACCCTTCAAACCCAATGGACTCTCGTGGGGGGGGGGGGGGGTGTTAGAGATATATAAAACCATTAATGTAGCCTCACCCAACAACTTAAACTTCTGGGTTGAATTGGTTATTTACATCGTATCAGAGCACATCGGTGTCCTGGGTTCAATCCTCACCTCCCCCCACTTTCTCTTGCGGAATTTCCTAGCACAGGTAGGTGGGTCTGTGCATTATCCATCCTTTATGCCCAGTGGGCTCTCATGTGAGTGGATGTGTTAGAGAAATATATAAACTATTGATGAGCCTTCACTTAAGGTGAGGCTACATTAATGGTTTATTTATATCTCTAACACGCCTTCTCATACGAGAGTCCACTGGGCTTGAAAGGTGGACAATGCACAGGTTCATCCACCTGTGCTAAGAAATTCTACAAGATAAAATGGGGGCGGTGAAGATCAAACCTGTGACATAAGGCTTTGATACCATGTAAATAACCAATTCAATCCAAAAACCCACCTACCTGTACTAACTAATTCCACAAGAGAAAGTGGGGGGCGATGAGGATTGAACTTAGGACACTGATGCTCTAATACAATGTAAAACAAGTTCAACCCAAAAGCTTTGGTTCTTTACAGGGTATTAGAGCTTCGGTGTCCGGATTCAATCCTCATCACTTTCCACTTTCTTTTGTGGAATTTCTTAGCACAGGTAGGTGGGGCCTGTGCATTATCCACCCTTCATGCCCAGTGGGCTCTCGTGTGAGAAGGCGTGTTAGAGAAATATATAAACTATTGATGGGCTTTTACTTAACAGTTTAAGCTTTTGGGTTGAATTGATTTTTTACACATATCAATGATTATATGTGCTATTGGACAAAATTGAAATATGTATATGATCACTGATAGCATTCCAAATACTATTCAATTCCGCAATAACCATTATTTATAATGGTTTGTATTGAATTTTGTTTCTTCTCTGTTGTTGACTAGTAGAATTTTAGGATGGTTAGATGGAACAACCACTCTTGCATGTTCTGAAATTTTGAGCTATGTAATTATTTTGTATTGTCTGCAGTACAGGGAAATTTATTAATATTCTCTTCAGTGGGCCCAGTGGTAGAGTATAGTTTGCATTTGCTTGCCAAAATTCTGACTGTTATTGGCTACAAACTACAAATTTAATGTGCTTAAAATACATGAATATGTGGGTTACCCCTCTGGAGAGCTGATGATAATAAGTTGATAACACTAATAAAATGCATTTTTCTAGTAATTTCACGATATCTAATGAATTTCATTCTAGTGCCAATCAACTTTTGACCCTCAATTCAACCTTAGGATCAGACGCTGTCAAGCAAGTGCGAATATAGTCAATCTGAGGAAGTGGCTGGATATGAAATTCTGTGGTGGACAATATATTAAGTGAATATTATTTGTCCACTGGTGAATTGATGGAATGAAAAGAGAACGCCGTTTTATTTGTCATGCCTAACATCTATTATACATTGGACAAACTTAAAATATGTCAAGTGAATATCTGCTTCTATTTGTCAATTGGCGAATTGATGGAAAGAGAAGACAATGTAGATTCCTTTTGTCATTCAATTGGTTATGGTTAGGATTTGCGATAGGTTAGGATTATGGTTTCTCAGGTGGATTTATATTGGATTATAGATGGATTGAAGGTTCAATGGAATGAATGGATGTATGTGAGGGTAAGGGAAACTTGCGGAGAATAAGAAGGGGTTTTTGGGTCCGATTATTGGCTATTTGAGTGCTGTGAATAGTACCTGTGTTATAATGATATTGATTTTGTTTTTAGGGCAAAATGAAGGAAGGAAGACTGAATTGAGACTTTGATGTGGTGAATATGTTACGATGTCCTTTAGGGCTGAAGATGAGCAGAAAAGAAACCTAGGCATTACATAGTGTTTGGTTGCATCACACTACCGAGAGGAATGCAATTTTTTGTCCATAATACATTACAGCTGTTTAAATAGACCTCCTATAACTTTTCCTGCGAGAAATAGGAGTGAACCCAAATCCCACGGAGTTGGACTTTAAGTGTTACTAAACCTATAAAGGAAAACTCACACTAAAACAAAACCTGTAACAGCTAATGACATAGCCTTGAGCCCAAAATTACCAATACATGGGAACATGAAAATTCCTAGATTACCTTAAACTGTAAAATTAAATATCCCTAAATGATTGTGCGCTTGTAAAGTTGTGGAAAATTTTAATTAGCACTAGATTTGAAACTGAACTAAAATATTGAGATGATTAGATCTTTAAGCTTATAGTTTATTGATTTTAGTGCATCTGTATCATCTTGGTTCTCAGTTAAAATATATGAAGCTTCAGATTTTCTTTGCATCTCTTTTTTTTGGAGACAATTTTCTTTGCATCTCTAAAGATGGAAACATGCTTTACTTTGTCAACCGGCAACAGAGTGGTATTATTATACCATATTGTTTATGAAATAAGATTTAAATTTTAAATGCTATATTGTGTCCAAATCTGTTTTCCTAAAAGGCTTGGTTTCCTTTCAGGCTGCAAATGAATACTTAAAGGTAATTGGCAATCGGTGGGCTGTACCATGGACTGCAATGACCATATTACAAGTAAGTGTTTCAATGGAGGTGGAATGATAATTGACCCAGTTGAATAGTGTTAAAATTCTAAACAATAAAATGTGAATGAGGTTGTAGATCGTGTAATTATGTATGATGCAGGTTATGCTTCTATGGACAACGGCATTTTGGTTTATAGGATCTTGGATGATTCCTTTTGCAGCCCATATAACTGGTTTTAGCAAGGAATCTTTGACATTTAGAGGACAAGCACTATTTAGCCTTGTTACTGATGTAACTGAAGGACTAGCTGGAATTGCAATTCTTCTTCGTTGTCTTTCTCGATTTCGTCCCCTTCCACCTGACTGGTTCAAGTTTAGCCTAAAGGGGAATTGGCAATTAGATGTCATCATGGGATGTCTCATGTTTCCTCTTGTCAATAGGCTCTCACAGTTCAACCTGCACTTACTACCACTTTTGCCCTCTACACCTGTCACCTTTTCAAGTGTTGAACAATCAATAAGGGCAAGGGATCCTGTGGCAATGTTATTATATGCAGCAGTAGTAACAGTTTGTGCTCCTGTGTGGGAGGAGATAGTTTTCCGTGGTTTTCTACTCCCATCCCTTACCAAATACATGCCGGTGTGGTGTGCAATACTGGTAAGTTCAATTGCCTTTGCGCTTGCACATTTTAATATACAGAGGATGCTGCCACTTATGTTTCTTGGGATGGTAATGGGTGTCATATTTACGCGGTCAAAGAATTTATTGCCATCAATGCTTTTGCATAGTCTTTGGAATGGCTTCGTCTTCTTAGAGTTGATGAAATAGCTTCTTCAAAGTAATGATTCTTTAGTAAGTAGTGAGCCCATTATGTAGGTAGCAACTAGCAATGCAGGCATTCACATGCAGGTTTATGCTTTGGATCAGCGTCTTCAGAAGCAAATGCTTACTGGAACAGAACCTCATTGTGAAGGTACACTGAGTAAGTGCATGTGCAAGAAGTAACATGAGCTGATGGGCTCATACAATTGTATATTATAAAAATCAATGCCCTACTTTGTTCATATCTGTGATGAATACGTGGGTATTATTTGACAGGTATAATTGAAACTATTCATTTTGATCAGCTTTTTTTTTTTTTTTCCCTGTCCCTTTTTGGCTGTGAAAATTCATTTTGGGTAACATGATGCTGGAGGACAGTTGTACTGTATATTCTGAATGAGCTCATCCTTTAAAATGAAAAATAAAAAAATTATAATAAAAATAAGGTTATTGAAGGGGTTTTCCAGAACATTGTGCAGAAGATTTAGTTCACCGGCTCAATAGTAAAGTTATTTTAAATTTTGTGCTCTTTATTATAGTTAGTCTTTTGTAGTAATTTGATACTTGTGGATTGACAGGCATGTCAATACACATTTTTGTTCTATGTGAAAATTAAGTGAGTAAATATTTGGCTAACATCAGTATGAGGTGTGATGTATTGATGTCAGATAATCAACGGAGAGACGTGAGATATTCAGTTAGAGGTGTGATGTGCTGATTTTAGTTCATTGACAAAGTAGGCAAAAAATTGTGACTGAATGCCAACAGGTGACATGGGTAATTGATGTTATTTTGTTATATAAATTATGAGAATAATAAGAACTCAGCACAATATGCCCACGTGGCGTTGTTTCTTTAAAGAGCCAAAATTAGAGATCATTTCCGTTCTATTTTTTAATTTTCATAAGATTCATTATAAATATTAAATTTACAGTATAATAATATTGATGTAATGAGAATATTATTATTACACATTTGTAAATTGAAGTTGCAATTGACTTCAGCTAAAATTAAACATTAAAATAAAAATATTATAGACGAAGTATACACAATTTTTTAATATGGTCTTTTCGTTATAGAAGATATTTTATAATTATATTTTACATTTTCAAGTTCAGAAGAATCTTTTTATGAGAAATGGTGCCAATTTTTTGATGGAAAAATATTTTGTTGTAGTAAGTTATATTCACATAAAAGTGAGTTGAATATAAAAAAAAAAGTGAGTTTTATTACGAAGAGAAGAAAGAGAAAAAATTAAGGAAAAAATATTTTTGACCCACTCACTTTTATATAAGTGTAACAAAAAAAAAAAAAATTGTAGTAAAAATAGAAATATTAAAATAAAAAATTAAATGGGATTTATTTATTTTTATACAAAGGGGCAAATAAATATTTTACAAGTAAAGGTCCTTGCAAGGGATATACAATACGCATACACTGATACGCTCAACTGTTCGTCTATTTTAATTTCAAAGAAACAATTTGCTTATAAGAACCATTATGGCATATACACCATTTATAAAAGAATTTTAGCTGACAAAACATCATTCAAGTCCTCAAACTATTTCACTTTGAAGCCACTTGATCGGTTATGAAATTAAAAAGCTTTATAAAATGTAAAGAAAAAGATTTAAAGTAATCATGTCAGCTATTCTTCAAAGCCAATAAATTGAGATCTTCAAGACGTAAGATACGTGATATTAGACCAAATTACTCTATGTATTCTGTTCCATAGTTGGCAGACAACGAATCCATCTCCTGCAGTTGTAGTTACGCTGCTGCGCTCCATGTCACGTGCAACACAGAGGTGGTGCATCTACACAAAGCACCCACCAACCAAAGTAGTAGATAACGTTTATGGTGTAAATGGGTTAAGTCGGTGCTTATGATTTAGTCTATATTAATTTACATTTGGTCTATTATATGTAGTTAAATAGAACAGACCTATGATTCTAAAAAATTTTATTTAGAAAAATAGGTCATAAACTTTTTTGTACATATCAAGCCTATAGATCGGCCTATATTATTTTATTTATTTTAAATAAAATAAATATAATTATTATTTTAATTATTTTGAATAATAAAATAATATCATTTTAATTATTTTTTAAATTATGAAATATTTAATAGACTTAAGCAGATAATAGACCTAGGCCAAAACTTTTATTTTTTAAATATAAGTTAAATTAAACTTGTAATTGAAACTTACTCAGACTAACAAATCAAGCTAGACCTAAATTTTTTTATATAAATCTAATCTATTTAATTCAAAGCTTAACATAATTTAACATATTTACACCCCTATCCGCTGCCATTTTAATACAGCCTTATACACATAGAAAACTGTGCTCGTATTCAACAATTGCAAACACTTCGCCACTTTCTTTACATGATGGATGGCCTGATGCTTTCTCCTCCCAGTTGCCAATTGGGCCACGGCACAATTTAATTTCCTGAACCAAGTGCCCTATCCATCCGTTTCTGTTCCGCATCCAGGGTATAGTTGTATTCATATCGAATAAAATAGTGTTGAATATAACGCCTGTTGTTATTACAATTTAAAAGTTTTGTAATTTTTTATAATTTATTTTGTAATCAATCTAACAATTATAATTTATTAGAAATTAATACTTAATTAATAAATATAATTCAATAAAACATAATCATTGGATTAACAAAAATCAACGGTGAAAAAAATAAGTTATAAGTGAAAAGAAGTCGTAAGAATAACGTCCCTCGTTGAATATATATATAACTTATGTTATACTTTTTTTTATTTTTTTGCAATAACTTATATAATACTTATTTCTGTAAACAATTAATATCTGTTCAAATATTTTAGAAGACTATTTGTGTTCTGGATGCGAGATACAAGTATAAACTATTTTCCTGTCTTAATTATAGAATATCCTAAAGCAAAAGTTGCTTAAAGTTGGGAGAAAAATGTTCTACTTATTTCAAGAGAAAAATTGATATACTGGATATGTGATAGAGTCTTTTTACTTCTTAAAGATTTAATGTAGTGGTCTAGAAATAAACAATTTTTATGACACAAAAGGAATAAAGTGATTCTTATGCTTCTTACAGAAATGTTTACAACTAATTAATAAAGTACGGCATAGTTGATAGATAGTTGGGTTCTTCAAGCATGCTGACAAGGTTTGATCCATGGCCGTGTGTCACATGTGTGTATAGAAAAGACTTTGTTGTGAGAGGTTGTACCCACCAAAGGCGGATTTAGGGGGGCTAAGGTGGGCCACCGCCCCCCAAATTTAAAGAAACTTTTTTAACATATATAAAAAATAAAATTTTAGTAATATTATTAAATTATTTGTTTTAAAAATTGTATAATATAAAATTATTCTCCATGACACTATAAGATATCACACTACACTCAATCATGGCCCCATTTGCATCCCCATGAAAAAAAACTGCTCTCTCGCTCAATTTTAACAAATCTTCTCAGCTCAGGTCTTTCATTATCTCTTTTTTTTTTATGAAATTAACAATGCTACTATTATTCGATTGTTTTGTTTCGAAATCTATTTATATCATACTTTTTCACCCTTTTGCCCCTCATTAATTATTTAATAACCATTTTGCTCCTTATTCAGAATTATCTACCAATCTGCCCCTCTTTAATCGATTAATCCAAAAATTTAATCAATTAAATGGTCAAAATAGGCAAAAATCGTTGACTTGAAGATTTAGTCGATTAAATCTCCCTATTTAATCGATTAAATCTCCCATGCATAAGGTTGTTCTTTTGATAAAGATGAAGATTTAATCGATTAAGTTGAAGATTTAATCGATTAAATCTTCATTTGACCATTTAATCGATTAAATATTTAATTTAATCGATTAAAGAGGGGCAGATTGGTAGATAGTTTGCAATAAGGGGCAAAATGATTATTAAATAATTAATGAAGAGTAAAAGGATGAAAAAGCCTTTATATCATCCTCATGTTTTGAATGTTTTGTTTCGACTTATTATCTTCCATTGATTAATATTTTTTTATACCAACGTTCGGTGCATTAATGTTTTTTAATGCTTTAATGTTTCATTAAGGATTACTTTTCAAACTGTAAGAATAAATTGTGTTGGACAAATAAATTAAAAAAAAATATCAAAACATGGATGAACCAATAAATTAAAAAAAAAATTAATCAAAACTCAAGGTGAAATACCATAGAGCATAACAACATATTATAATAGCCCATCTTAATTAATTAGTAAATCGAGTGTAATTAATTAATTAAACATGTTTTAGTGAGTGAAATTAAGTATAAGGCTTAATTAAATGAATCTGAGTCACTTTGGAGTTAAAAAGTGTACTCAGTGAAAATTAAGGGGTATAAATGGGTACTGGCAAAAGTACCCAAAATATAAAAATAAAAATAGTAATATTCCTAGAATAATATTCCAGACTTTTGGGTAAAGTTTGGTAATTATTGGAGTTGAGTAGATAGACGAACCAATACCCGCTTAAAGCCACTTAACCTATGTTAAGTGACTAAAAGCCAAAATGAACCCCCATTTCCCACCCATTTCGTCGAGCCAGAAACAGAAAGAAGAAGAAGAAGAAGGAGAAAGGAGGGAGAAGGAAGGGAGGAAAAGAGAGAGAGATCAAACCTTGATGGTTTTGGATGATTCAAAAGCCTAAATCGCTTAGAATCTCGCCCTCTTTCATAATCCTAGCTTTGTTTTGAGTGGGGAGCATTGTGGAGAGAGATATTACCTCTCAAAAATTCGGCCCTTTGGTGAAAATTGGGGTTTTGAGAGTTTCTACCTCCATTGAAGCTTGAGGAGCCATCAATCCTTGGTTGTGTGACCATTGGTGGTAAGATTCTAACCCTTGAACCTCATGATTCCTTGAAATTTGCATGAGTTAGGGTTTGTGAATAGTAAATTGGGATTTTTATGAAATGTAGTTGAATTAGCTATGTTCTAGGAAGAATGGAGTTTAGAGCATGTTATGGAAAATGCTAGGAATGTCATTTAATCGGTGGAAATGAGCCTAGATAGTCATTTGATAATTGTTCATAATATTGGAAAATTCATGCTTGGATTGGTTAGTATTCTAGCATGTTGAACAATTAGTGAGTTGAATGATTGATTGGATCCTTATGATGTCTAGGATTGAGACATTTGGACCAACCGTGAGTGATCAACCATTGGAGCAAGCTATGGAGCTTGAATAGCTCATTGGAATTGGCAAGCTCATACTTGTGTTGTGCTTTGAATTGAGTAATTGATGGTTGATTGTGAAATACTCTTGGATGCAATGTGTTGATTGCATTACACCATGTGTAGGTGTATGTTTGTAAAAGTTGATTGCTGAAACTGTTGGTGAAGAACAAAGGTTGACTGAAGCATTGAGGTAAGTCTTCGGACCTTGGGTGTAATTCCCTTGATTGTTCCACCAAGCCCTGAAAGGGTAGTGGTGATTATAGTGTATATAAATGCAATAAAATAGTGTAATGCTTTGTTATACGTATGTGTATGCATTTGGTGTGGCATAGGATGGTGTTTCCCTATGTTGGTATGTGGCATGACGATGCGTAAATCATACTTGGTAGTTAGCTGGCCAGTAGGACTATTTGCATCTGAGTTTCCTTAGGACAGCTTGAGAGCTCGAGGGATTTCTCCTGGAGATGTATTGCACTTTGCATAGATATGTATTTACTGCATTATTATTGTTATTGCTATTACACTGATATGGAACTGTGGGGTGGAGAGATGCTCCAAGGACCCCTGGTTTACTGGATATATTCGTATATCTCACCCCGTGTTGTGGGGACCCCCTTTCAGGTAAGGATGCTGCAGGAGCCTCTGGTGGCAAGTGGCCATACCTAGATTATGCATGAAATATGGCACTTCTTTGAGTTTATGCATGCCTTTTGTAGTTGACATGTATAGGATTTTATTTTGAAAGCCCATGATCATTTGTATATCTTGATTCATTGGATGAACTTAGCCTATGCTCATGCCTTTGGTTACACCTTTTGTTGATGGGAGCCAAGGGAATGATCATAGTGTTTTGTAAGCTAAGTTCTATGATTTGTAAAGGATATGTAATGTAAATGATGCCTACTTGGAATTCAATATATGCATGCTTGTTATGTATTGAGTTGTGAATTGGTTGGGCTGAAAATCAATTAGGTACCCTCTTCGTTTAAACTGGTAAACGATGAGAAAACAAAGGTCATGCTGCCCAAATTCTAGCTAAATCTCATGAGGAGAGGTTGGATGAGTGCTAGGATTTAGTTTTGGGGCATGGACATTTGGGGTTTGTAATGGGGATGCATTTTCCCCTAGGCTTGGACTTGAGAAATGTGGGAATTGGAATTCCCTGGCGGCGCGCTTAAGCGCCCAGGAGTGCGCCCAAGCGCCCTGCTGCCCCTGCGAGTGCCAATGCATTCTGTCTCCTCACGCTGGAGCGCCCAAGTGGGGGCTTAAGCGCCCAGGATTGCGCGCTGGAGCGCCCTGGCTCGCGCTTAAGCGCCCTTTGCTGCAGAAAGTTGGGATGCTTACTGTCCCCTCGTGTTTTAGCGCCCAGGGTGGGGCTTAAGCGCCCAGGGTTGCGCGCTTGAGTGCCCTGGTCCGCGCTTAAGCGCCCTTAGCCACTGTAGGAGGAAATGCTTCTGTCTCTGCGCGCTAAAACGTCCCAGTGGGGGCTTGAGCGCCCAGGATAGTGCGCCTGAGCGCCCTGTTGCGCGCTTAAGCGCCCATCCACACTGGAATGCCTGATGCTTACTGCCTCCGTGCGCTTAAGCGCCCAGATGGAGGCTTTAGCGCCCGATAGCGCGCGCTTGAGCGCCCGGTAGCGCGCTGGGCCTGTGACCAACACTCTCTTGTGTTGCTTCAAATGGTCCTAACTTGGGCTACAGTGCTCCGATTTGAGCACGGTTTGAAGCCACATGTAGCTAATGAAGAAACCTACAATATAGTAGAAGTATTGAACTAAACAAGAAGTAAATTAATGGTTTAAAAATGGAAAATGAACATGATGTTAAGCTTAATTTATCTGTTTCCGCAAGGTAATATGGTTATGATCACGAAATTGGGTATTATAAGTTCGGTACGTTTTAAAATGAAAATTTATCCGGATTTTAATTGAACCCATGTGATTGTAACTGCGCTTAATATCATAATGCGATGTTAACAAACCGGTTCTAGAACGGGGTGTTACACATATTTATTGGGGACTTGTAATATTTCAAATTTTCAATGCTTCATTTACTGAACATTTAGTGTATTTTATTTAGTCTGTATTTTCTTATTTTTTGGACTTTGAGATCTAGAAGTGTTTATTACTTTTTGGTTAGCTTGCTGGAGTTTGTTCTACAATATATCTTGACGATTATATTTGAATAATTTTTCTGAATTCAATAGCTTGTCCAAGCATCATTTAGGTACAATGAATTTCCTCGTACATTTTTTTTAATTTATTTATTTATCTATAATTTATTTAAACATTTTCTGTATCTATTTTTATTGTAGATAGGTTTAACAATACGAAAACACATAGAGTAAAAGTCAAGTGAAATAATCTTAATTTCTGTAATAGATTTCTTTCAATTTTTTGCATATTAAATCTATATTGTATTTGAAGTATTTTTATTTATGAAGAGGTATTTTTATTTTTCGCCTTCTCTCAATAAAATTTCTACGTCCGCCACTAGTACCCACGATCGCGTGATATCTCCGCCTCGAGGGGATTAGTCTTGCTTTCGATTGGGGATATCCCTGGAACAATTTAAAAAAAAAAAAAAAATGCTTACAATTAAGAAGCCATTTAAAATATCAAAGCTAACAAATGAAAGTAATCGGGCCCCTCCTTTGTTAAAACAAAAAAAAATGTTGATGTAGGAATCTCGTCCAGTGAGGAAGAAGTGGTATATGTACGGTGGTAACCGGTGAGAAATCGTAATCGTAGTTCACATGTCACTGACTTCAAAACCTTGATCGCTTTGTATTTTCGCTCAATCAATAGAAGCTTAACTTGTTTATTTAGCAATGTTCATAGGATTTGGATATTTTTAAGATAACAATTTTCTATTTTAATTTTAAAGATAAGGATTATATAGGACAACTTGTAGTTGACTTGAGGGTGAAGAAAGAAACGAAGGAAGAAGAGATTTTTTCGAATTGTTGATTATAATAAAACTGTCAAACCGACAAATAAACCGTCAAAACAGTGACACGCAGCACATTGCACGTGCGAGTGAGTCACAATTAACAATGTTCCTCTTTAAAAACTCCTAACTCGAAGGGGCAGACACAAAAAGCGGGAACTGATAAACATTGATTGAACAAGCATGCATTCCACCTCTACCCTCCGCCGTTAACCACCACTTGCTGTCACCGAAACAACCTACTCAAAGGAAAAAAAAAAACACTGCATCGAGATCCGTTTATATTGCACCATATCCTATACTATATAGTCAGTTATTCCCCCCAAAACACAACAACACCAATAACAGAAAGTTCAGTGTACTTGTGTGGTGTGTGTTTATGTGTCAGAGAGAAAGAAAGAGAGGATTAGAGGAAATCGTTTCTATAAAAGTTTCAGTTTTTGTCCTTGAGAATTTCACTTATATATAGTGGTTCCTCTGCTTTTGTGGTTGAGTCTTCATTGTTTTTTGAATTGTAAATCCTTTTAAATAAGATGGAACAGAAAAGCTTTCTGATATCGGCGGTGAGTGTTGGGGTGGGGGTGGGAGTGGGAGTGGGGATTGGATTGGCTTCAGGACAAAGCGTTGGAAAATGGGGAGCAAATAGTCGTTCATCAAACGCCATTAATGCTGAGAAGATGGAGCAGGAAATGCTTCGACAAGTTATTGATGGAAGAGAAAGCAACATCACTTTTGATAAATTCCCTTATTACCTCAGGCATAACTTGTTTCCTCTTTCTTTTATTAATTTCTATTTGCTTTATGGCAGAAAAATAGCATGGTTGTATTTTATACTTAATCTAGTATATGGTGGTGATATATCATATATGTCACATATAATTTGTTAATAAATTGGAGCTTTCATCTAACGAATGTGTGTTACTGACAATGGTTGAAAGAGAACAGTTTATTTGATGTACTCGATGAAGGCTTGGTTTGACCAAATATCTGAAGCGGTTACTATATTTAATTAATTCAATCTATGTTCTGATATAACCCTTCCTATCCTTTATGTGATAACAGTGAGCAGACACGGGTTTTGCTGACAAGTGCTGCTTATGTCCATTTGAAGCATGCTGAGGTTTCTAAATATACACGTAATCTTGCTCCTGCAAGCCAGACTATTCTGCTTTCAGGGCCAGCAGGTTAGTTTCTTATAATCTTCTGTTTTTCTGACAAGGGATCGATATGCTTTGATGTTTCTACTGTCACCATCATCAAGCTAACCAACATCTCCCCCTACCCCCTTTTCATGTCTTAAAGAACTTTACCAACAGATGCTTGCCAAGGCTTTGGCTCATTACTTTGAGGCGAAGTTGCTTTTGTTAGATTTAACTGACTTTTCATTGAAGGTGTGTAAAAAGTTTTGAGTCATATGTGACTTAATTTCTGCTTTCTCATGTTACTATGTACATAATGGTTGGTCTTTCATTTGTGCAGATTCAGAGTAGATATGGTTCTGCCAACAAAGAATCTGTAAGATATTCATTTCCTGGATTATCTTTTATTGTTTTCACTTGTGTGTTCTGCCAAGAGTCTTTTTTACAGAATACTGCTGATTAAAATCATAGATAATATGCTGTTCTTTCTTGACCTAATTTTTGGCTGTTGTGTCGTCTTTTCCTTTGTTTCTAATTGTAGTCTTTCAAAAGATCCACTTCAGAGTCAACTTTGGAGCGGCTATCTGAACTATTTGGGTCATTTTCAATCTTTCCACAGAGGGAGCAACCTAAAGGTACAGCAGCTTTATTAACATCTTCTGACCCATGGCAAAGAGCTAGATTCACAATCAACCCAAAGCTTTGTCAATCTTTAATACAAGGTTTTGCAGCCTTGTTTTGGTTTCAAGAACAGGTTTTGCTTTTTCTGTGGATAAAAATAATAATAATAACAATGATAGCTTTTAATTGATTAAGACATCCTGCGGACGGTTAGATAGGGTATGGTTATGCAAATAGCTTTAACTGTTTTTTGTTTCATGTTTGCCGAGTAGGATAGCTTGTGGTTAATTCTCTTGAACTTCTCTCGTTTTGGACCATTAACAATCTATAAAAAGGGAAGGCCAATAAAAACCACATCACTGACCAGTGACCAGGAGCATTATTTTGCAGGCAAAATGCACAGGCAAAGCAGTGGACTGGACCTCCAATCAATGTAAGAAGAGTAGATGAACTATGTTATAATTGTGAGAACAAATATAACTTTCGTGCTAGTTTAGTTAATACTATTGCTGAGTACTTGCCTTTCGGTTTGCAGGGGGGCTGAAGCATCTTGTAATCCTCCAAAGCTCCGTAGGAATGCTGCTTCCACTTCAAACATTAGTGGCCTTGCTTTGCAAAGCAATCCTTCAAATTCAGGTTTCTTGAAGAAATTATGTAAATAATATTGATGATGACTATTGATTTTATTCATTTACTTGTTACCATCTGCTGGAGATTTAATTTTGAGTAAGGCTGCATATAAAGATTGCTCTCACCTTACCCTCGTTAGTCGGGGTTTAATTGAAAGTGATTGTTTTAGAGATCTAATCAAGGAATGCTACGAATGCCAGAAGCATCAATTTGAGAAAAAGATGAAAATGAAGAGGGATATATTCCATCATGTTTTCTTGAATAGGCAACAAAACCATACCCGTATTGCTTGGTTAATTTATACATAATTTATAATTCAAAGTGATGCTTTCTAATTTGAAGTTAATATCTGCATCATTTATAAAACTGGTTACTAAGAATTAGATACAAAATCTTCTAGAGTGGCAACTAGTCCAATGTACAGTTAAAACATTTTCATATTCGTTCTGAGACGAAACTGTCAAATTTATCATTTGACCATTGTTCTCTCTCTCTCTTATGTGATTTCTTATGTCCTTTAATCTCCCTTCAGCTCCTCTGAAGCGCACAACCAGCTGGTCTTTTGACGAAAAGCTTCTTATACAGTCTCTTTACAAGGTAATGTTACTTTTGATTATATAGAGATTTCAGTACCGGAGCATTACCATGTTTTTTGGAACTAAACAAGGCTTTAGATCATATCCTCCACAAAGACATTGATTTGATAAGTGGAATTTTTATCTGCAGGTTCTGGTTTTTGTGTCAAAAACCCATCCCATTGTGCTATATCTGCGGGATGTTGATAAGTTGTTATATAGATCACAAAGGATATATAACTTGTTCCAGAATATGTTAAAGAAATTATCTGGAGGACCAATTTTGATTCTTGGCTCACGAGTCTTAGATTCTGGAAATGACTACGAAGAGGTGGATGAGAGACTTACTTTGCTCTTCCCATACAACATAGAAATCAGGCCTCCAGAAGACGAATCACATCTTGTCAGCTGGAAGTCTCAATTGGAAGAGGATATGAAGAAGATACAAGCTCAGGATAACAAGAACCATATCACGGAAGTGCTTGCAGCCAATGATCTTGATTGTGATGACCTGGATTCCATCTGTGTGGAAGACACAATGGTTCTCAGTAACTACATAGAAGAGATTATGGTGTCAGCAATATCTAATCATTTGATGAAAAACAAAGACCTTGAATACAGAAATGGGAAACTCGTTATTTCTTGTAATAGGTGAGAGTGACACTTGCAACCTTAATTGCATGAACTATCTTAATTTTATGTACTTACTTTGTTGTTTATGAAACAGTTTATCCCATGCATTGGGTATATTCCACAAGGGGAAATTCAGTGGAAGAGGTACATCAAAATTGGAAGACCAAGCCGTAAAATCTGAGGTTTGCTCTACATTTCATTTTGTACATTTAAGTTGAGAAAAATACCTAACAGGTAGTAAAATATGCTTTTAATGTTCTCTATCTTGTCATCCGACATAAAGATGCAAGGAAAGGAAGGAACAGTTATGAAACCAGAAGCGAAGTCTGAAAATGCTGCTCCTGTAAAAAAGGTTGAAGCGGAAGTATCAACTTCAGTGAGAAAGGCAGACGGTGAAAATTCAGTTCCTACATCCAAAGCTGCTGTAAGGCTTTGTTTTGAATCAAAATTTTATTTTTAATAATATTACAAGTATACCTGTAAGAGGATTATTCAGACATAGATATCTATCCCTCTAGGGCCTCATCTCTAAGCTCAATGGTGGGCTAGATAGGTATTGGTGTTGACTTCATATCTTAGGATTTAGGAACACCCCTTTCTATTCTGTTGACTCTCACTTTTTTGTCTGTAGTGTTAATTTCACTTTCAAACATTCACTGTCCATTATTCTCTTGCAGGAAGTTCCTCCTGATAATGAGTTTGAGAAGCGAATAAGGCCTGAGGTAATACCAGCAAATGAGATTAATGTTTCATTCTCTGATATTGGTGCCTTAGATGAGACCAAAGAATCCCTTCAAGAACTAGTAATGCTTCCTCTTCGAAGGCCGGACCTTTTCACTGGAGGCCTTCTAAAGCCTTGTAGAGGAATATTGCTATTTGGACCTCCAGGCACTGGGAAGACAATGCTGGCAAAGGCCATTGCAAAGGAGGCTGGAGCAAGTTTCATCAATGTGTCCATGTCTACCATCACTTCTAAATGGTTTGGTGAAGATGAGAAGAATGTTCGTGCTTTATTCACACTTGCAGCCAAGGTCTCCCCAACTATTATATTTGTGGATGAGGTTGACAGCATGCTTGGGCAGCGAACCAGAGTTGGGGAGCATGAAGCCATGCGGAAAATAAAGAATGAATTCATGACCCACTGGGATGGACTTCTCACCAAACCTGGGGAGCGCATCCTTGTTCTTGCTGCAACCAATAGGCCATTTGACCTCGATGAAGCCATTATTAGGCGATTTGAAAGGAGGTAGGCACCTCTACTAGTTCTTGACTTACTCCATTATAATGCCCCCCACTAGATTTCTACTTTCTCCATGTATTTGAGTTTATGTTGAGGGAGGGGAAAACAGATAAGATGGCAATACAAAAGGAAATGATGTCAAATATAGCTATCTATGATAATATGTGTATGACAATCTGAATGAATACCCCAAAATCGAGTAATGGTTTGATTATTTTGAATATGTTTTAATGCAGAATTATGGTAGGACTACCATCTGTGGAGAACAGGGAAAAGATATTGAGGACTCTTTTGTCAAAAGAAAAGGTGGACAATGAACTTGATTTTAAGGAACTCGCAACTATGACAGAAGGATATACTGGAAGTGATCTAAAGGTTTCTACTATTTTCTGATATTGTTCACAATGGACACGTTGACTACCGTGATACCAGTGCTTTTTTAATATTTGGGCTTCTGATTATACCGTTTATTCACTGTCATAAACTGTTAAAATGCAGAACTTGTGCACAACTGCTGCTTATCGACCTGTTAGAGAGCTAATTCAGCAAGAGAGACTAAAGAATCTGGTAACTGTATAAAAAAAAAATCAATATCTTGTGCAATCCTGATTATGCGTTCATCATGTTGACCTGTGAATGCTGCTTTTTTTTTGGCAGGATAAAAAGCAGAAAGCTGCCAAGGGACAGAATAAAGATGTCCAAGGAGAACAATCTACGGTAGAAAATGCACAGGATGCTCTGGATGCAGAAAAGGAAGTTAAACAGGAAAGAGTTATCACCCTTAGGCCATTGAATATGCAGGATTTCAAAGAGGCCAAGAGTCAGGTAACACCACTCTAAACAATACAGGAGTTATGGAAATTGGAAAGCATAACTGATATGTAGCCCAAGTTGTGGAGTTAATCAAGTGATATGATAAGATTGGCTTTTTTTATTGCTGTAGAATGTCTAGTTTTGTTGTGATCTTAATGTGTACTGTTTCATCTGACCTAGTTCTTGGAACCTGCCAGGTTGCTGCAAGTTTTTCAGCTGAGGGAGCTGGAATGAGCGAGTTGAAGCAGTGGAACGAGTTGTATGGAGAAGGGGGTTCAAGGAAGCAACAGCAATTGTCTTACTTCCTATAAAAATTACTGAAGAATAGAAGAAAGAAATATCGTAGTGTGGGAAACATTTTCCACTGAACAAAACAACCATCAAGCAATCAAGAGTTTGTTAGTGATATATTTTCCCAGAAGAATATTTTGTTGCTTCATTCCCTTCAGCTTGGGAATTAAGCTCTACCTTTTAGTATTTTGCCCGTATGCCACGAATACTACTATTTATAAGTGTCACTTATGTACAAAACGGTGTTTTCCCAGTTTGCTGTCGATCACTAGAAGCAGAAAGTGGCGTTATTGATTAGCAGCATTATATATGGTGTTTGTTAAACCTGTAATGTATAATACAAATAAAGAGATGCGTTGTGATTCAATGTCCACACCTTCGTACTTGATGATGGGAAGTACCTATTATTTTAGACTGCAATAAAATATAACGTATATAGAGCAATTTATGTAAAAAAAAAATTTTAGTACAAAGGAGGGGCAGAAGTCCCAAAAAAGCAAAAACTAACTATTAAAAGGCATCTCAAAAGACAATAACTGCCTCAAACCATTACGGCAAGAAGCAAGAAACAAGAAATCATCTTGAGCCTGAGTGGCAAATTTAGCGATCCAGTCAGTGCATTTGTTGCCATCTCTTCTAACATGTGGAAAGAGAGCTACCGGTTTTTGTCTTGCCACTGAAAGATGTTGTGCATGAAGGCATTAGTGTCAGGACTCCTGGAGGCATTATATATAGCTTGAATAGCAAGGAGAGAATCACTCTCAACAATAATGTTTTGGCCTTGCATGTTCCACGCTAACTGGATCCCCTTAATAATGGCCCAGTACTCAGTCATTTAAGGGGAACAAATGCCTATATTATAAGTAAATCTAGCTACCCAATGACCTCTATCATCTCTAATGAGCCCCCCACAAAAGGCATGATTAGAGTTCTTTTTAAAGGCAGCGTCAACATTAAGTTTCCAAACTCCCAGTGGCGAAGCTACCCAAATCACAGGATAGGAATCAGACTGGGTGACGGGGTTCGCAGGATGATTCAGACCAGCCCGAATAAAATCACTGATATAGGAGGATAAGAAGATGATAGGGTCAAATGGACGAAAGTAATTGGGGTCATGCACTTCCTTATTCCTCCAAAACCACAGAAACCAGATTGTGGTAAAGAAAATATCACGCCAGTTGAAGATTTGAACGTGATTCCATCCAAGAATAATGTTTTTCCTGAGCCACTCCTCCAATGGGATGGAAAGGAAGTCCCCTGGTAGGATACCCGCGAACTAGGCTTTCCAGATGTCCAAAGCATTAGGGCAACTCCGAAGCAAATGGGAGAGGTCCTCAACAGCACCTGGACAGATGTGGCAACAATTGGAACCCCCCCTCCAAACACTTAGAAGTGTTGTCCCTGGAAAGAATTCGGCCATGGAGCACCAACCAGGCAAAGGTTCTTATCCTATAAGGCCCTCTCCACTTCCACACTGACTTCCATATTATATTAAGGTTTACTAGATCAAACTCCATAATTCTCTGATAAGCATAGCTGACCACCCCTCTTGTAGGCATTTTATTCCTCCAAAGCATACGATCCTGACCCCTATCATCACACGGAGGGACAATGGCTCAAATGAGATGAACCACCTCAAGAGGAAGGATATTATAAAGAGTATCCAATCTCCAGTTTCCTGTGGAATTGTCCACTAACTCCACGACCTCGGTTTGCAGATCAACATGGTTTACCAGACACAAGGCAAGCTCTTTGAGGGGTGTGTCCAGGTGGGTCCAATTATCACTCTAGAAGAGAGTATCCCTCCCACTCCCTATTTCCCATTTGAGGTTGTCCAGGACCTTCTCCCATAATTTGCAAATACCTTTCCACAGGTTAGAGTCGTAGCTTTGGCATTTGACCTGTCTCCTAGTATCCATCTTCCTCGCATACTTTCCAAGAAGGACTTGCACCCAGAGGGACTCTCTCTTATTCAGGATCTGCCACCCCACCTTGAAGAGAAAGGCCTCATTATACTCTCTGAGGCTTCGGATTCCCAGCCCACCAACTAATTCCAAGGAACAAGGTGCACCTTTCTTTTAGTCTCAGTATCACCCCAAATTAACCCACGCTGCATCTGCTCAATTTCCTTGCAAATGGTAATGGGTAAGGAGTCGTGCTGCATTTGGTAAGTAAGGATAGTGCTTATAACAGATTTGGCTAGGGTTACTCTTCCCACGAAGGAGAGAAGTCTGTTCTTCCAATTAGATAGTCTCATCCTAACACGATTGAGGATTCTGGTAAAGTTTCTACATCTTCCCCTTCCGTGATTCAACATCGAGCCTAGGTATATTCCCAATGAATCAGCATGCTTGAAACCACTAGCTTGGATGATAACATCTTTGAGCCCCTGATCAGTATTCCGAGAAAAATAAATCAAAGATTTCTCAATGCTGACCAGTTGGCCCGAAATGTCGCAGAAATTCTTGAGGTAGTTCAACATACAGTCCAATTGCTGAAGAGCAGCTTCCCCAAACAAGACTAGATCATCTGCGAACATTAGCTGTGAAATAAAGGGACCAGTTCTGCCAACTTTCATTGGATTCCAGAGATTGCCGCGAACAGCTTCCGAAATCAGGTGAGAAAGCTTGTCCATGCATAGCATAAAAATATAAGGGGAGATGGGATCCCCTTGGCGAATCCCTCTAAAAGGAGTAAAGCTGTTTGATCTTCCACCATTCCAGAGGACCTGAAACCGAGCAGAGGTGATACAAAATTTGATTACATTGGCTAAATCATGCGTAATACCTGCTTCCAAGAGGACATTGTGGATGAATCCCCAGTTTAATCTATCATAAGCCTTAGCTAAGTCAATTTTTTTTTTTTTTGATAACAAGCTAAGTCAATTTTGATTTACATGAAAGCTCGCTTTCCTCCCAATCTGTTCATGGAATGAGTCAACTCTTGAGCAATGATCACGTTATCATGGATATCTCTACCAGGAACGAAGCTAGTTTGAAACGGGGAGAGAAGTTTATCCATAAGAGGTTTCAAACGATTAACTATGATTTTGGTAATGGCCTTATATACCACATTGCAGAGGGCAATAGGTCTAAGTTGATACACCCTCTCAGGTTTATCAACTTTAGGAATGAGGGCCAACAACGTATCATTCAGCGTGTGGATCTCTTCAGGATTGGCAAATATACGTCTGATTTCTCGGCATAAGCTATCAGAGAGCAGGTTCCAAATTTTCAGGTAAAAGCTAGCAGGAAAACTGTCGGTTCTAGGAGCCTTGTGAGGCCCCATTAGGAAGAAGGTGTTAATATATCCTAATGAAGTAACTAACGCTGACGTGGAAAGAGATGCAGTTAAAGTTAGTTTGTAACTCTATCCAGTTTGTTACACGGTTAGGAATCTGTTGTGTATAGTTGGAAGTTTGTTATACTCATTATTGATTCTTCTGCTTGACACCATGATATATAAGGTGGAATAGCTGTAATGTAAACTTAGATTTCATAATACAATGAATTTTCAGATATTCAAGATGGTATCAGAGCAATAGCTCTGGGCCATCAACCACATTCCGCGATGCAATTTTAGCTCTCTGTTCTTTGTTCATCTTCTTTCTGTTTCTTGTTCATCTAATCTTCTTCTTCAATCAATCTTTCGTTTCTGTTCATAGTCATGGCAGAACAAAACCAATTATCAGATCCATACTATCTTCATCCCAACGAATCACCATCTTTAGTTCTTGTTTCTCCATTAATGAATGGAAAGAACTATCATGCGTGGTCAAGAGCCATGAAAGTGGCTTTGATTTCCAAGAACAAGATAGTGTTTGTCAATGGCACTATCACTGCTCCTGCAGAAGATGATGCAATCTTTCCTTCCTGGGAGAGATGCAACACAATGGTCCTCTCATGGCTTCACAAGTCTATAGCTCAGTCGGTTGTCCAATCTATTCTTTGGATTGACAAAGCTTATGATGTATGGAATGACTTGAAAGATCGGTTTTCCCAAGCAGACACTTTTCGCATTGCAGATTTACAAGAAGATCTGGTTCAAACTAATCAAGGTGATAAAACAGTATCCGATTATTTTACAGTTTTGAAGGCACTTTGGGATGAACTGAATAATCTTAGACCACTTCCACAATGCACATGTGGAACTTTGATTCAATCACGAGAACATAGGGAGACAGATCAGGTCATAAGGTTCTTAAGAGGCCTTAATGAAAATTTTGCACAAGTTCGATCCCAAATAATGCTCATGTCTCCTCTTCCAAATATAAACAAAGCATTTTCTTTCGTGCAACAACAAGAAAGACAGCTGCGAACTGATTCATACAGTGATAATGTAAGTGAAGCAAAGGCATTTGCTAGTTCATCAGAGAATCCACGTGGTCATGGACCTTCATACAGAGGAAGAGGAAGATTCATTGGTGGACGCAGTTCAAGTAATAGCAACAAGTATTGTACTAATTGCAAGAAGACAAATCACACCATTGACACATGCTACTTCAAGCATGGCTTTCCCCAAGGCTACAGGTCAAAGAACATTCAAGGATCAAGTAATGCAGTTCTAACTGAACAGAATGCAAATACTGTGGTCAGAGATCATGATGTATCAGCTCCACTGATGTCTGTTTCAAAGGAGAAATATGAGGACTATATGGCTTATATGCAGCAAAACAATCATGTCCATTCCACCAACATGGCAGTCAATGAGAACCTTCCTATGACAGGTAAAATTTCGATGCAATGGCTCTTAGATACAGGGGCCACAGATCACATCACACATATTCAATCCATATTCACATCCATTCACTAGATTACACCTATATCTGTTTTCTTGCCTGATGGATCATCTGTCATTGCTTCATATGCTGGAAATGTGGACATTTCTTCCACCCTTACCTTAACGGATGTATTATATATTCCAAAATTCAAGGTGAATCTGATATCTGTCACAAGATTGCTTGAAAATGCTGACTATTTCTTGGTTTTTCATGCAACACATTGCTTGATTAAACAGAAAA